TTTTCTGGGGGAAAGAATCTTCCAGATTGATCCCCCTGATTCAACACGCGCATTTCGACTTTTTCAGTTATTTTTCTGTTCTGGGCCTTTCACTGCCTTGCTTTCGAGACTCTTCAACTTTCCAAATGATGCCCTCAAGACCACTTCTTGGCCACTTCTTGTTTTACCAGAAAATTCATTCATCACTCTTCTGGATTCCCAGCCATTTTAAACTCACAATATCACCGCCAAGTCTTCATGGGAGTACCTCGGCACTGTTTTGTTTTAGTATTAAAAAAAAAAGTGAAAAAAGGAGAAACACATCTTAAAACATTGATACGGAAAATAAAATGTGTTCTTATTAACAACAGCTGTCGCTGCTCCAACTCAAACGGCAGGTGGGGACCATTGCAGTGGTTTTCCAAATGGAGGCGGCCATTTTCATCGTGATGAAGCAAAAACTCGTAAATTATAACTTAACATTTCATATCTGCTGAAAAGGAGTTATTTCATGGTTGCCTAATAGCTTATTCAAATCAAGGCACTGCAACCTGATTTACAGCATGTTGAAGTCGATAGCTTTGTTTTTTTTTTTAGTACATCCGATCCACAAAGGGCCAAGAAAGGCTCTGCTCCTTGCAATGCTCTGTTGAAAATCAAGCAGCGAAGGAAGTGGATTCTTTTTATCATATCTTGACATCTTTGCGTCTCGCAGAGCAAGGAAAGCTGTGCTGTGATTATAGAGGGAGACTCGTGAGCGTGTCAATGAATACTCTTGGGGATAATCAAGAACTCATGACTATTCCGCAAGCTTGAATTAAAAAAAAAGCCAACTCGGCTTTGCCATTCAGATTCACATAAACTGAAGGCGTGCAAACTTAGACGCGGACACGCAGGTACTAGTTCTAGGGAGGGAGAACTGGCAGACACGAAGGAAGAAGAACGCCAGGGGGGAGGGGGGGGCGCGTCCATGACTCCCTGCTCCGGGCGCCACATGGAATATTCACGGCTCTGTGTGTTGAGCCACATGTGGCACTTGTTCTTGTCTGTATGCATCCGTCCCATTCTACGTTTCTAAAATAAAAAAGAATAGGAATTTTGGCAGTCGGTACACTGGTAACGTATTGAATTCGGACTTCGGAGTTGGTCACCCGTGACCAATGCTGCTCGTATACAGTCCCTCAAGTCACGTCTTTATCGCAATATAGGCGGAAAGTGCAAGTGTGCCCTAGATAACTCAATAATTGCGTCCTGGCATTGTAAGACACCATAAGCCCAAACAAGAATGACATGCGAAGAAAAATTGAGTAGTGTCGGCGATAGTTAACGAGCTATAGGGAGAGAATTCAAACCTGCCGGGGAACATAGAAATGACACCTTTTGGATGTTATATTCACAGTGATCGGCTCGCTTGGTATAAAAATTTCCTTTAAGAGAAATTTTGTTGAAGAACGCAAGAGAGAGCTACGCAAGAGTGTTCGTATTGTGGAGATAAGAGTTGGCTTAGAGAGAAAAAAGTTACGCCAAAGATAAGAATAGGAGGCATAAATCCGATATATCTTCGATGATTCTTCCATACTCGAACCGATGGGCAAGAGAATTCTCCAGGAAAGACTATGGATGCTATCTCGCATCCGTATACGATATCTCTTCATAGTAATTAAGGAACTGGTATTGCCAAAGGTCGAATTCCAGTCATCTCCCCATGATAAGGAAGCGGTAGGTGCCCATGAAGGTCAAAATGGCCCACTCCCCAACTTTCATGATGCGTAGATAAGTTACTGTCGTATTTGTCTATAGTGATAAGCCAATGCACTTATTCGTATGTTACTCAATGTACACGTAGTATTCCTCCCCATGATTCGCATTGTAATCCTACTTCTCATGGCGAAACTTTCGGAAATAGCATTACTCGAGGCTCTCATCTGCTGCCTTCTTATCCTGTCATCCCATGAAGCAACCACTCTTATCGCGGCAACTGTCCTAACATACAACATTTCTTCCGAGAGGAAATAAGGGACATATACAGTATATACAGGTGGCTGTCTGGGACATATGTCCAGGCATGAGTGTTTCCGCCACACCACCTGGACACGGGATTGGATCCTACTCATCATTTTGAGACGTTTGCAGCATGTGACATGCGAAACCTGGTCACTGCACGCAAGGAACCACCTCTCATCGTCCAGCATACCTCCAAGCTGCCTCTAAGTGCCTGAGGATGGATGTTACGCGAGCGTTTCATCGAACAAATCGGACAGTTTGGTTAACGTGGCAGCAACACATGATCAGGGGAGCGGCCAGTGTTATACTGAATCCATTGATTGTTGGTTGTCACTGCACTATACCGAGATCACCCAAGGTGTGACGCCTCGGTTAGTCTTCCCGTGAGTTTAATCCTTTTCGGGGTCCCTGGGGTACAGGTCCTGGACGGACAGAGAATCTAGAATACAGGTAGTTCATCAGAGGAGCCCACCGGTCGATGGTCAATGATACGGAGGCTTAATTTATTTCTTTACTCTTTCCCGCTCACATCACTATGATTGGTAAGAATGAATTTGAATTTCCCAGACAAATACTTTTTCTCAGCAGTGAGTTCGAGTTCAGGTTTGTTCGTGAAGTTTTCATGCAATGCAGGTATATCCCTGGGCAAGCTCTAACTCTAAGTTCAGTCTCCAAGATACATTCCTTAGGAGTCGAGTCCGTCCATCGGTACGTCAGTGGTTGATATCGGTCTTGTCGCCCTTGCACTAGAATGGTCTCGGCATTTTTCACGCATTCGTCAATATTTAGGAGTAATCGGTTAATCATCACTTCATATCCAAGGAACAAGCATTCTGGGTTTAGGTGAAATAATGGATTTCTTTATGATTTAGTTCTTTCAATATGTCAAGGCGAATAGTTCCTATTACCTCGTGTGTGTGTGTGATCATATCGTTCACCGGTAATTGAAACCCTGGTTAGTTCCTCCCAGAAGACGTTCATAGACACCTTATATGTTGATAAAATCGAAAGTTTCTGCCTTAAGGAAGCATACAATATTCTTGTGTTTTACGAATATTTTAGAAGACGCTGTACATCAGAACTTGAGGACTCTACAGAACGCATCGAAATCGGCCCAGCAGTTTTTCTTCGAGGGAATCCATTGGAAGTTTGCATAAGAAATACTCTGCAATTCTTGTTCAGTACTGGTAGACTGAGAGAGAAGCAGGGACCCTCTTGATGAATAACTTCCTGCCCTTGCCTCAAGGTTCATTATCTCGCGAATCAGCCTGGACATTCATTCGGAAAATTTATATGTTCATATATTTCTTGCAGAGACGGGAGAATGGACTCCCATTTCTCTTATTCGTGAGGGTGAAATGCAGACGGGGTCTCCGATCCCTAGCTCCCTACCTTGAATAAGTACTTGCGACAGAAACACTGTTAAGGTGGCAAGAGTCCATCCTTACCTCATTTGTCGATTTCGGCCCAATTTCATTCTGTATTTGCCTCAGTTTTCGAAAGTTTGACAATTTTAGTACTTTCAGTACTTGCTTCTTCGTAGACGTTCAGAGATGGGACACTCTAATGCTATGTCGACATGCCTCATTTAGACAAATGCACAAATCGACTTCTAGCACTTCGGAGCGCCGATAGAACTAGCTCGTTACTTAAAATTCCGAAAGGAATACACTTCTTACGAGGCATGTCGGCATCAGTTCCGTCGTTTTTACTATACAGTAGCTTGTGAAAATTTTAAACTTATGTGCACCTTTCATCACTTTCTCTTCTTGCTTTTTTCATTATTATTCAGTCCTAGATGTCAAAAATACAACCCGTGTAACAAGAGAGAACACACCTACAATACCTGATTTATTATTTCACTGCGAGAACTCTGAGATCTTGGGAAAGGAAGAGTACCAATTTTGGACTGCTTGTATAGGGCTGACTAAGGAGGTTACGTGAAGAAGAATAACTGCACTGCGACTTTTAACCCATATTCTGGCGTCCTATATTTAGGATGACGAACAGAGATGTGTCTCCATATAGAACCGCCAGGCATACCTGAGTTACGGTACGACTTTGCCTCAATTTTCGAGGCAGTGTTCGCTTGGATTTCATGGGGCACAGTTATTGTCTCGTTAACAAGTGACTTCGTTTTGGAGACAATGAAACAGGTTTCCACAGGTGTTAGTAAAAAGAAAGAGAGAGAGAGAGAGAGAGAGAGAGAGAGAAAGGGTTCGTAGGCTTAGAAGTGAGGTATAGATAGAATGATGGATGGCTCACATCCATGTTGCCTGTCTTGGCAGGTGGAGCGTCAGATTCAATCACGACCTTCTGCTTTCGGATGTCAAACCGGGGTCCAAAGTGAGGAGCAAACACGATGGTTTTCGCATTCCCTCGTCGAGGACTGTCATCATCGTGAAGTGGGTGACGGATGAATTTCCTCCACATGTCAGCCAAATCCACCATGGTCACATCTACTCCCTCCACACCCCCGGGAACCATTTCACCAATCCACCCCAATCCCAACTAGATTTTGAATAATGAAAAGGATGCGCAACCCCTCGACACTGAAAACGGTTGATTATTACATACCCAGGAGATGAGGATGCCGAAAAGCTTCATTTTCTTGGGATCACTAGCGAGGAATCCAATCAAGAACTGGGTCGTAGTCGTTCATAGCACGCCTAGTCGCAGTCAAACGAGAAACGTTGTCTTGAATTTCGCAATATTTTCAGACCTGGCCGGTTTTCCCCCTCATCTCCCCTCCCATTTTTACTCAATGGAAAAAAAACCGACCTTCGTGGGAACCAGAACCCCCTGAGGGTCGGACACTCCAAAAAAAAAAAACCATGATCTTGACCATAAATGTTGCGCTCAGGTTGAGGATACAAATATTCATTTAAAAATATCAACTTTATTACGCAATATTGTCTAACTACAAGGAATATTATATTAATAGAAAATTCTGTTGCAGAATGTAACTGGCCTACTAACATCACAAATCAATAGGCATGACCAGAGAGTAGAAAAACTCATTTTTTGGTCCTAAGGAGATGCCACTTGGGGTCTTTAGCAGTTTCTTCCAACTCAGAGCCCATAAGACATGCCCCAAAGAGAGGCTTGTCTTTCAAATGCTTCTCTGCCACTGAGATCAGGTCATCTTTGGCAACACCCATGAGTCGATGTCGATGCTCATTTCTCATCTCTGGAGAGAGGTGATGCAGAAAGAGATCCATTCCTTTCATCCCTGGTGGGACTGGCTTATCCTCAGCCTGGAAAACAGCTAATTTGGCTTCATGAATGTCTTCTTCACTGAAGTCTGCACCTTGGAGTATCCATTCCAGGGAATTGTGGTAGGTATTGAACGTCGATAGGGCCAAAGGATCCCGATATGAATAAAAGGTAAACATTCCTGTTGGATGAATGGCTGCACCTCCACCATAAGCACCTCCACGTTCCCTGATCTCACGATGAAGGTATTTGTAGGTCAACAGACGACTCAGAACTCGAAGAGCTGGAAAGTCTCTATCAGTGTATGGGATTATAGGTATGGACAGGGCAGAGAAGTTTATTGGATATGGAAGAACCAAATGAGAATGCCTTGTTGAAGGCTGGAAGTCTTCATGTAGGCCAAACACTTCCTGTAACTCAGATGCTGTCCCAGGTATGTTCAGGATAAATTTCTCTACAGCTTCTTTCACTACAGGAAGATCTTCTGATGTGGTGTTGAATGCACAGCGAAGGTGGACCTTTGACAAGATCTTGCGTCCCATCCCCACCAAGGCCTTAAGAACTGGTGAAATGTTGTCTGAATGTGCAATATCATTCAGCATGTTCACATAGGCAAACCCACTCATCATCTCATGCAAATTTCCAGCTGCAGACAAAGTGCTGGCAGATAGCGTCATTGCATAAGAATGTCCCATATGAGCCATACTGTTTACAAGATGTGATGCAGCATTTCTGATGAGGGTCATAAGTCTATCAGTGTCATTCATCTGCAGCTCCCTGAATATCTTGAGCCAAATGCCCAACATATTGTGGAAGTTCTTGTTCAGACAGAAGGAGTGCAGGAGAATCCCTTGCTCAAAAGAACATTCAAGAACAGGACAGCAGACAATGTGTGGACAAACAGAGAGGCCTCCAGTGTTTAATTCAATCTCGTGGTCCAGTTGCTTATAATCCCAGGTCCCTGCACCCATCTTGGTGACCACTTCACAGAAGAGGGGTAAAAGATGCAGCTCTTCAGGAGAAAGATGTCGAGTGTTAATAACTGCTCTAAAGTATGTGACTCCATTAGTTGGCTGACAGCAGAATTGGACTGGAACTCCATGTAAGACTTCATGTTGAAGATTCACTTTGGGAATCTCCAGCTCTAGTTCTGACAAATGCAAGATGGGCAAGCAGGAAAAATCTTCCTTTTGATTTTGGCGATCTCTCAGCACCTTCCCCGTGTCAAACAGCTTTTCCTTCTCTTTCTCAGTCAGATCTTTGGTCAAATCCTCCAAGACAGTATCTTCTTGGGATGTCAACATCTCCAAATACTCCTCATCAGGCCTCATTACTGTAATCAAGTGATGCTTGTTATTCAGCATGAATTCTTTTACCATGTCTTGTAGAAGTTGAGGATTCTTCTTCAGAGAATGCCTAAAATCATTGACCAGGTGATTCACCTGAAGTGCAGGGATTGGATCAGAAACATGATTCCAGAATGGGGTCAAGGCCAATATTAAGCCCAGGCCAAAGTTTGAAGTTTGGTGCTTAAGACCTAGTTCAATGGAATGCAGGATGGCATCGATTCTTTCTTCAGGAAATCCATCTCGGGTAACTTCCTCCAATGTTTCCCATATGGCACTAGTCACTCTATTGATATCAGCTTCAGCAATTCCTTGTAGCCCCACAGAGAAAAAGGATTCCTTAGCTGAATTATCAAAGCCAGTTATGGGTGCAAACCCAGAACCAATGTTAGGTTGTAGCAGCGATTTATAAAATGGAGCATTAGAGCTACCTGTTAGGAGCTCACTGAGAATTTGAAAGCACAGTGAGTGGAAACAGTCATTGATTGGTGACATTAGAAATGTGACAGAAGTTGTCACTTGCTTCTCTGAGTTCTGTGCCATTGGGTCAGGTGGTCCTTTTAGTTCCAGTCTCTTAGGTTCAATCCATCTTACTTCATCTGGGACAGAGGTATCACTGTCCATTTTTGAATAATTGCATAAATAGCGATTCTGCAGCTCTTCTAGATGATATTCTAATGGGAGGTCACCATAAGTGAATATGTGTGCATTACTGGGGTGGTAATGAACTCGATGAAACTCAATCAGGTCACTGTATCCGAGTTTTGGGATTTCCAAAGGGTCTCCACCACTTATGTGTTTATAGGTATGAGAAGGTAAGACACTATTTAGCACCTTCTGTTCATAGAGTCGCTGAGAGTCGGCAAATGCTCCCTTCATCTCATTGAACACAACTCCTTTGAATACCACAGGGGTTTGGTGATCATCAACATCAGAATGCTCCAATCTCCAGCCTTCCTGCAGAAAGTCGAGTTCCTCTAGCTTTGGATTCAGGACTGCATCCATGTAAACTCCCATCAGGTTCTGAAAGTCCACTGGATTTTGAGTTGAGAAGGGATACACTGTATAGTCTGCTCCTGTCATGGCATTCATGAATGTTGCCAGGCTTCTGTTAAGCATCTTGAAGAAAGGATCTCGCACTGGATAGTTTTGACTACCACATAGAGTAACATGTTCAAGGATGTGGGCCACCCCTGTAGAGTTCATTGGTGTGGTTCGAAATCCAATTGAGAATACATTGTTCATATCCTCTCTTGCAACATGGAGGTACTGAGCACCTGTCAAATCATGGCTGAGAAGGATTGCTGCCAAGTGCAACTCAGACACCTTCTCAGCTCTCTGAACAGTGAAACCGGAAAACTTGATCCCTGGATGAAACCTGCCCAATACACCATCCAGATCCACTCTGCCTCTTGCAAGTGGGTTCTTGTAAAGTGTTCGACATGGTGACCACAGCAACGTCGCACGCTTCAGGAGAAGCAAGTTACGATATGCAACTGTCTGAGCTGTGAATGACATTCCTTGTCCCAGCACCTTCTTGAGAAACCAATCATATTAACTCATATTAGGCTATATTACTTTTAGGCCTGATGCTAAGCTATGACCGCACAGCGAATAGCTTTGAAAATCCTTTGAAAAGGTTGATGCAACATGCACAGTCTCTGTCCCGAAAAACCGGCACGATGCCAAAAACTAAACAGGGATGCCAATGACCACGTGGAACTTTGGGAAAGTCTTGTAAAGCACTCTGATACCTATGAGTACTTTCTCGCCCATATTACTTTAACATATTTGATTCACCGAATTGTGAGAAAATATCAAACTAAGCTGAGAAAGGAGATATGAAAAATTTTCAATAGTAGGTCTTCATGCTGGGAGCTAGGAAGTTAAATTGTTTCTTGGAAGTGCAGTACGTCATGCAGCCTACGTACATGACATAACTCTGACCATGCATTTGCTCTTACTGTCACAGGCTATAGTGAAGGTTGATCGAATGGTGCTTTATTACTTCCCTTGCTCCATCGAAATCTTGTGAAATAGGCCTAGGTCCTAATGCCTCCACCGCAGCCATTAAGATTTGGAGCTTCCTAATTCTCTTCCGCTTAGGCCACCTGAGCCCAGTTCTGTTCTAATTGGTTCCATCCACCGTGTGCTCTGAATGCTGCGTAGGACCGATTGTTCTCAAGCATAGCCTAAGCCTAGGTTTCCCAAACCTGCATACTCCCTGGTCTAACGTTAGGACCTGATGTTACTTAGAAGAACAATGCCACAGTAGATGCCTTTAAACTAAAACCTAACATCAAAGATGTCGATAATCATTGGGCTTGAGTCAAGTCACCATTTTCATGCTTTTTATTACATTTTCCCATTCTTGGTTCTTTTGAGTTTTATGATAGTAAATGTGGTGTTCACATGGAGAGAATTCCACTGAGTTTTCAAGAATTGATTTCTTCCCTTAGGAGTAATTGGAAAATGAGGGCTGAGGTTCCACAGATAATTTTCGGATCTCCCAATACATCAAGGCCTAACAACAGCCATTTTTGGGCACTTGAATGTGTTGTAATGATAAATTAGCATTGCAAAAGATCCCATCTCTGTGCATGAAAACCCTGCCATTTACCATGCCACAGTGGTCTCATCATAGTGATAGTGCCTTTGGATTAATTTTTTGCATGTGTGTACATGTGCTCCATACTTTCAATGAGTATGCTATGTAGGTATGTAGATTAGGGTTGCCACCTGTTCATAATTAGTATGGACAGTTCATATTTCAGATGCAATGTCCATACTGCAAACTTGTCTTAATATGGACACTACTTCATCCATACTTTAAACTTGTTAAGGTTTTTTAGCTGATAAAACTTAATAGCAGCTAAAACCACAGTTTTCTTCAAGTCAGAGTAGCATGCCACACTCTTATAGCATCAATGGTACTTCGGCTAAAGGTGGTTGTAGGTATTTGCAGCAGAACCACAAATGCAAGTATACTTCATGTATTTGTCCATATTTCCATATGTCCATATTTTGCTAATTTCAAAGGTGGCAACCCTAGTGTATATCTTGACAGGGTAATCCACCTAAGGTGTGCTGCTTTGTGGTTCAGTTGTTGATGCTTTGGATGGAGCATATTCTTTGGTTTATAATTCTTACTCCCAACTTGACCATGGATATTTCAACTATAACAAATCTTGCTATTACTACAGATTTATTCAAGTGATGTCTATGTATTGTTACAGCAATCATGTTGCAGCTAGATTGCTTGGACACATGACACGTTGCTTGGGATATCATAGTTCTAGTGATGGAAGAGGATATTTTACATTGTAGAAAGAACTGGAAATATATGTTGTCCTTTGGCTATAGAGCAGCAGAAGTGGATGGGAAGAAATTAATGACATGCAGGTCATTCAGGTCTACATTGGCACTCTGGATTCCCATACATTGTTGATCTATTATATTGATCATCATGAACATGAACACCAAGAGTTGATTGGCTGTTGAAAAGTTCCTTGGCTTTTTTTTCTATACTTTAGTTCCTATTTGAGCTGACCAAGTTTTGTGGTAGACATGATTTGCTGTGGTAGTGGGGATAATTTTTGCAAATTTTAGGTGTGTATCTCATTCATTACAATTTAATGCCCTTTTTTAAAATTCAAGGTCACTTTTGTACACTGATGGAAGACTCAGAATTTTTTATGAGAAAGTGTGAAAAGGCCTATGAATTTTTAGATAGTCTGGAAAATGTTCATGGGGATAGAAGCTTTGTTTGCAGTATAGTTTTTGAGTAGGTGAGTCTTTTAGGATTGGAGGATTTTGCATTTTGATGACCAGCAATCTGGGATACCCTCAACTGCTTTGAAAGTCTCAAATTCTATAACTGATTGAAGATCCCGTCTTGTATGATCATATATTGCTATGCAATGAGTGAAATGTGACTGAACTGCTTATTTGAGATATTGGCAACATCTAAAGGGGCTCTTGTCAATCAATGATCATCCAAGGTGAAACTTACAATTTTTGGCAAGAAAAATTGATGGACCCCAGATTTGAGGTCCTCAGAAAGAGAGCCTGAATCTTGAAAACAACTTTCTCAGTCGAAACTGTGCCAAAATAAAAATACTTCCACATAAATAATTTTAACCTTTCAATAATTTTGTAGGGCTTTTTCACCCTTCACCTAAAACTTAATTAATGCACAAAATTGTCTTTGAATTTCAACAAAGGCTTTGCAATTACAAGAAAACAGCTGTAAATTTTCATAAATTGGCCCACTTGCAGTACAAACTATCTCAACCATCTAATTGTGTTAGATCTAAAAAGAACTAATGATAGAAGGAAAAAGTCTGGGAACTTTTCAACTACCATTTGTGTATAAATGTTGATGTTAGTCTGTAACACCAGTGATACACCTGTATATTTAGGTCTACCAAGTGACACTCCATTCCAATAAAGCCTTCTGTATTGTTCAGTAATCATGTGTCAATAACTTGTATCCTGAGTAATTTTGTACTGTTATAATATAGTAATTTGTGTAATATTTTCTCATATTTATTTAAAAAAAAAAAACCCCATCCAAACAAGTTGTGTATTTCTGAACTGCTCAAGAGGTAGTATATTCTGTCAATGATGTCACTACAGTTGAAGATAATTTGTTTCATGAATACCCTACATCTGCCTCAGAAATGAGTTGGCTGTGGTTTATCATTGTAGGTGGTTGCAGAATATTTTTGAGTAGGCCCATATTTAAAAGAAATAATGTATCACACAAATCTGCAAAAAGTGACATTGGTGACAGTGTTAGGTATTGCTGTCTTGTTGCACTTCACTGGTGCTGGGGAGCTAGGACCATCTGAAACAAAAGATCCAGGGAATGCTGGACAAGAAACAAACTGCAGTGCCTTCACAGGGAAGACATGCGATACCTGCTTGTCTGGTGGTAGTCATGTGAGTTCTTAAGTGTAACGACATTCTTGTGAGCTACTATTAGGTCTGCATGATTGACATGTGTGATTTTGAACAATAGTGTGTTTGGTGTGCCTCGTCAGAAACATGTTATTATGTTGAGGATACAGCCACCTGGCCCGACACAAGTAAATGCAGTCTCAACTCTATCCGTATCTATTGCTGGTGTGAGTTTCTTATCCATTCAACCACATTCAAAAAAGGAATATGTCTGTTTCCAGGGTATATGTGTTTTTTAAATTTATTGTAGTGAATATTCTGTGGGCTCTGTTGGGGAGCCTCTTTGCTTTCTTGGTCGTCTTGATCACCTGCATCAGTTGCATGGTGAATCGTTGTCGGGACTGCACTGAAGGCTTTTGTCGGTTGAAAAGGAAGACCACACAAGCAGTTTCCAGCATTCCTGCAACCTACCGTGAGCGAGAATGGGATCGCAAGTCACGAGACAGAGAAGAAAAAATTCAAGAAATTCGTCTCAAATATGGTTTGTTTCATCTCAGTTACCACAGTAAAAGAATTTAGTTGAATGTGTACTATATGAAGTTTTTTGTTTATTCAGTTACTTCAATTCTGGTGCATGTGTTACTTTTATACTTTTCCAGGTCTAACTGGAAGCAGGTATTCCAAGTTTGACAATGCAGATGAAGAGTCTTAATGTTTTTGGAGGCTATATCAGGCTTACCTCAACCATGAAGTTAGTGAGTTTTGTGATCTAGTAACATCTTTCTGTGATTTGAAGTGGATTATAAGTGCTTTGACAAAGACTCAAATGTAAACTGATTATCTTCCATGTCATTGATTATCATGATCTTGTGTACTGTACTTAGTTCACCTTTGTCAAGGGTGAATATCTATTTTTATTGTGATTAATAATGTCTTCAGAGCTAACAGGGCTTTGGTGTGAATGAGTGCCTGATGGAAGCATGGAATGCTGACCAAATAAATTTCAGAGCAGTGCCAGGATTTGAAATATATTTTGATAATCTTCAAGCTCAAGTGATTTTTTTTACTGGGAGGCAAGTATTTCTGCAGATATAAACTACATAAATAAAAAAAAGCTTAAATTGCATATCTCAATCGACAAGACAGCAAAGAGTACACACAATTGAATGGAACAGAAGCTGAGGAGTATCACAGGAAAAGGGGATTCTCTTCATAGAGGCTTGAGGTGTTCAGGCCTGATAAGTTGTTGCAGCTGTTCTCCCTCCTTTTCCTGTCCAGTTTGTATGAACAAACTTCCCTGGATCACTCAGCAGCTCATATGTGTGTGCTCCAAAGTAATCTCGCTGGGCCTGTAAGGCATACACAAGTATTCAGATGGATAGGGATGATAAGTTTCTTGTCTCCGAGGTTTCTATGAAATATTACTGAGGCAGACTAACTACAACCCCACCAATTAAAGTTTCTGACCTGGATGAGATTTGCTGGGAGCCTCTCAGAACGGAAACCATCAAAGAAGGCCAATGCAGTGCTGAATGCAGGAGTAGGTATTCCCATGGTAACTGCCAATGAAATAACCTTCCTCCATGAGTTTTGACATGATTCAATGGCTGCACGAAAGAAGTCATCCAAGAGCAGGTTTGACAACTCAGGATTGTTGTCAAATGCACGCTTGATGTTCCCTAAGAAGACGCTATAGGGCCAGAAACGCAGAGTATAACATAGTAGCAAATCATCTGACAGTAGAAGATGAAGACCAACATACCTCCGAATGATACATCCACCTCTCCACATAAGAGCAATTCCACCAAAATTCAAATTCCACTTATAAACTTTGGCAGCCTCCCGCAAAAGCATGAATCCTTGAGCATATGACACTATCTTGCTGGCATAGAGAGCCTAAAGGGGAGAGCACAGGTGAATCTTGAATGTAAACTCTTTTATTTTATAAATTTGATGATCAGGTGTGAATGAACAGTTTTATGATGTGGTGCAGCTCTAAGCAACTGAAATATAGTGAGGCCACTCTGAGATTCTGTAATGCTGAGTCAGTAGTAGCAATCACTACCATGCAATTCAAATAGCATGACATGCAACAGGAATTTGTCTTGTGAGGATAGTCCCAAGCCAAAGAAAATGTAGTAAGCAGCACTTTCTGAAGCAAAACCATGCAGAATTGGCATTATTTGCTATTTGCTGAAGGTTTACTATTGTACTGAAGTGACTGACATCATCCATGGTAGTGTGTGTAATGAAAAATCTTTTGATGGAAGTTTCCAATGTTTCATTGTCAATGAAGAATTGAACTTTGGATGTTTTCACACCAACCATGTCGTAGGCAACACAAATTGTATTTCCTGTTATCCTAATAGATTATATCACACCTTTCTTGAGGGGCATTAATTATATTATTTAATCTTCTTTTCTTTTGCTTGATGCAAAAAAACTACTTGGGTTTTTTGGGTATTCATTTGTAGGGTGTAAAAAAAAAAAGTAAATAGAGCTTCCACTTTAAGGTATCTCATATAAGGTCATTATGGAATACAAATTCACAGGGCTTTCCAGCTAAGAAACCATAAGCAAAATCTGAGAAAGGCTACCTTTCTGATATGTTCCACATATTCCTGGGTATTCTCTGTGAAGGTGGCATCAGGTCCCTTGAGGAGTTTGGATGCATTAACACGTTCTTCCTTTAATGCCGAGAGGCATCGAGCAAAGACACTCTCTCCAATTAGAGTCACTGGTATCCCATACTCCAAAGCAGCAACTGCAGTCCACTTTCCTGTGCCCTTCTGCCCCGCTGCATCTCGGATCTTTTCCACCAGGTGTTTCCCTGCAAGAACATAAAGCATGGGAGTCAATGACAAAAATAAAGTATCTCCACCAATGTTGCATAGCAGTCGGTTTTAGGACGCACCATCCTCATCTCTGAATTTGAGTATTTTTTCTGTGATCTCAATGAGGAAGGAGTCCAGTTCACCTTTGTTCCATTCTTCAAATACCTAAAATTGAAAACAAGGATATTCATCCCTCACAGATGCACAGATTCTTCAGTTCAGGGAAACATGAAAACCTGAATTAATGGAGATTGAGTCTTCAACAATAGTTACTTGTTTTTCAACTTTACTAATAAAACAATGTATGTTTGAAAACCATATGAATGCAAGAAAGTTTGAGAGACTACATGCATAAAAAAGTAACTGAGCAACAGATAAACCTAAGATAACATACTCACAGTGGGACCATTTATTATTGATAAAAGTGGCCAGATATATTCAATTAGGTTTTTATATAGGTCTGATTGCTTTGATACAGTTGTTTCAACAAGGAGAAATGTGATCTTGTTCAAGGAAAAAATTGAAAAATTCCAGTGCTTGAAGCCTTGATCTAATTTTTATGAACGAAATGAACATCCACTTCCATTATGTAATTGAGGAGTGATTTTTGGTATCGTTAAGACTAAAAGTAATTTTTGTCCTTGCATAGAAAAATTTAAGTCAGGGAAATATAAAAGAATCATATGTTTCTCCATCCAATACAATCACAATAAGGAGTAAGTAGTTCCAATCACAAAATCTTAAGAGGTCAATTGGAAATCTGGGACAAATCCAGTTACCATGCTCCCACATTACTGCCTTCTGCATTCTAGAAATCTCTTTGTTGGTTGGACCTCTTATGATATATGAATGATATCCAAAATACTGGCCAATACTCAATAGCCTAATCCATTTCACCTCTAACCAAAAGCATTTCTTAAAAGTTCTCTTTAGTGTTAGTCCTGACCTTGCTCATGGAGTCAGGATCCATTCCAAGAGCATCCCTCATAAGATGATATGCTTCACAGATGAGTTGCATATCTCCATACTCAATCCCATTATGTACCATCTTCACAAAATGTCCCGCTCCATCTTCACCGACCCAATCGCAGCATGGCTCACCGTCTGCTTTTGCCGAGATGTCCTTTATTGAGAACACAAATTATCAACAAGACATCTTTTCTCCAGTATAATGCCTTCTTCTGACATAGAAGATTTTATTATGAATGATGGGAGAAAGGCAGACCTGGAAGATGGACTTGATGTGAGGCCAAGCATCAGGATGGCCTCCAGGCATGAGAGAAGGACCATACCTGGCACCTTCTTCACCCCCAGACACCCCTGTGCCCACATAAAGGATTCCTTTCTTCTCCAGCTCCTTGCATCTCCTTTGAGTATCCTGATACTCAGAGTTTCCTCCATCGATAATAATGTCTCCCTTCTCCAACAAGGGCAACAGTTGCTCAATGAAGCTGTCCACTGCTGTTCCAGCTGCATTCCAGAACAGAAACTCAAATCTGCAGTAATTCCCTATTTAGGCATTCTTATAACTTGCAACTATACAATAAAAAGGGATGACTTGGTATGGTTTGGCGACAAGGAACAGATTTTGGCTCGCAAATTTGTGCTGCTTGAGGTCAAATCAATGTCATTGCAAAGTGAATTTTCCATTGTGCTCACAGGAAAAATTAATTGGAGATGGAGAATTGTAATCTACTTCCAGTATGAAGTAGAATCTGTTCAAGGTCGCCCCATATAATGATCATTTTGCCAAAATAATTTGATGGAAAATCATGTCAAAGATAAAATGCAATTATTACATATGGGCTGAGCGCATTAGATTTAGGACGGCTCCATATGGAATTTCACTGTCGGTCCTGGCTGTATTCGTACAAGGAAGAATCGGGCAAAAACTAGGGCTCTTTCAAAATTTGAGAAATATACTGCCTTAGGCTTGTGGATGAACTTTGAACGGAGTCACCTCACCAATGGCAAAACAGCAGCTTGCGGTTCTTCTCATACAGTTGGGGTTGGCACTTAGACATAACGATATCACCGTGATCATATATCGTATAATGCGTATCAACTGGAAGAATCACAAATACAGAGCGGCAATTCAAATTTGAAGAATTGGGACTGTTGTCGCCAATGAAAAGATCACGAACTTGTCAGCCCTCCATCAAAAGTGCATCTTATCCCAAAAAATATCGGAAGACGATTCATCTTCGATTACATAATTTTACTTGACCCATCATTGAACATCTGAATGAAGTTCAACGAAAAGGAATAGACTGTAAGTTCAGTAAATAATCCCTTTTTAAAATCACACATAACTTTCAAGATAAGCAATGGCACAATGCTCCAAAAGCGCAAATATATCAAGGAATCAATAAGGACGAAGAAATTTTCATCCGTTTTACAAGAAGCCATTCGAATGAAAGAAAATACTTTCACACAGAATCAGCTGTTACTCTTCTCTACCGAACATGTCCTGAACTGAAACGGGGCTTAGTGCAGGAACAACGAAACCCATTCACAGTATCAGCATGACAACAGTTTTCATCTGACACTCGCGGCACGACTCGAATTTGCATTTTCCGTGATGCTGATCGTTTCACATCGTTTTGCGATTGGATTCACCTCCACCTACCTGATGTCCCACAAGTACGGGGGACTCTATTTGAATGCATTACACAATTTATACAGTTCATAGGGGCTCCATAGTAGACAGGTCAAACACTAATAAGGGGGCTAAGATACACATTAAATTTCCCTTCCCTATATCAAACGTGCTCCATGAACCACGCGCATTCTAATGGTACTCGATAATCGCAACCCACTGATTGGGAGACGGGGAATATTAGCCATTGCGTTAGCCCCTCAAGCAAAGTATCACTGCCCAGTGTTACACGGAAAGCTGTTCCCGTTCATGGTTAAGGAATGCACTATCTCGTATCTATTATTTCTGATCCCTTGCATCTATGCTCTCGAAATTCGAATTCCTGTACGCAACGGGTTGTGACACGAAGTGACACTCTTGCACGAAGCGCATCTTATCACCTTGCACGAGATTCCTGGTATCTCAGGAGTCTAAAAAGGACCCTCAATTCATCTCTTTCCCTTAATTAGGAAAAAACTTATTGGAACGCTTGTGCGATGACCACCGGACCTTCGGACCGAATCAACTCTTTTTGGCAAGATTCAAGTCGCAGTACTTCAAACGGCACTTGACCCAAGAAGCTGAAATTCAGGGTGGATTTGTTTCTCAATGGACACTGTGCAAGTCCAAAAAATTCCATAAAAATCGGAGAGGGTCAGGTATTTGGCCGCATTGATTTCGCTTGGAATGATCGATTGGAAGTGAAGCGTAACGTAGCATAAAAAGAAGCGGTGTTTTCCAGGGAAGGCCTCCAATGGCCTTCGTTCGCCAACGGAAAGAAAACGGCTCATCGTGATTCCAGTATACTCGTAAAAGGGCCCATGCACACAATCGAAAGGCGCATATTACAACATACTTCGTAAAATAAAGATGCAACTTTCGTGTACCTTTAACCTTTTCTTCAGACTCTTTCGCAAAAGAAATGTTATCACAGCAGGTGGGAATCCCACCACAAGAAAGTAAAAAAAAAAACTATCCTCCTTGATGTTTTCATGAAATACGTCACCGCAGCCTCCCACGAGGCATCCACGATCTCGCGTCTCGAATGACTGCCGACTCGGGGAGTTCTCTCTGGCCCGAGTCCAACGTCGTCGACGGAGGTGCTCTGGTGCGTAGCCTCCATCACGGGAACGCCGATCGTTGTGCTTTATCATTTTCCTTTCTTTCATTCTTCCTTATTTTCATCCATCATTTTAACCCGCATTCCCCTCTCCTTCGTATCCGCGTTACCTTGACACATCGAGTAGAGCTAATGATAGGGCTGGGGAAGGGCGGCGAGAGATTTTTTTCGCTCGAACGGCTACAACATGAACACGTATAAGAAAAAGGTGCAGCATTTCTTCATTGATGTTTGGATGTGCAGATGCATTGAAAAGCCAACCTCACCGACTGCGTCCCCCAAGGGTCGATTGCGCCTCGTCAGCAAAAGAAGCTTCAAAGGGTCCATGGAGAATAAGCACTTGATTGCCTATTATAATGTCTCTTCTTATTCCGATTGATAAGACTTCGAGAATGACGTCAGAAAAAAACTCCTATAGGTGGCACCTCAGCGCGACTGTTGCAAATGGCCGTGAAATCACGTACGTTTCCCGTCGTGTCAGCAGAAAACGGCCTTCCCAGTTCCATCTGGGATAATGAGGCCGTGGAACTGGAGGGATGCAACAATGACGGCCGGAAAGAAAAATTTCACGCCTGAAATTCTACAGTCATTGAGCCTTCGATTCGTTAATGAATTCTTTGCATCGATTCCGCAGATAGTCCGTGCGGAAATTAATGCGACACGAGCTCGTAAAAATGCCATACACGCCTTTGAATGTGTTTGGGACTTCATTCCCGTCCAAGAAAAGACACGTCCACCTTCTCCACTGAAACAAGTACTCCTGCCACTTTGCAGCTTTCTATCGAGGTGAAAGGCTCAAAAGAATGCTTCTATTGAAATTCGATGGAGGCACTCTTCAGAATTCCACAAAATTATTACAATTTTTAAATGTATTTAGAAAAGTGCGCAACTGCAATTCCCGTCCACAAATACGTATCCTCAGTTAGTGACATCCAAACTTGAACCCTCTCAGTAATGAGCTCGAATGAAACCAAGCAGGAGACCTCATGAAACAGAATGAATAATAAATTTAAAAAAAAAAAACAATGAAAAAATTCCTGTAATTTCTCCCGTAATTTTCACAAAACGAAAAAAATTGCGGACCTGCCCCAAAATTATCGCAAGTCAAGGAGCAATTGACAGGTCATCAATGAACACCGACTCTCCGGGTGGTCTAAGCAATAATTATCGCACGTCTGGCATCCCTGCATCGCGCCAGACAGGCGCCTCCAACAAGCGAATTCTCACCGGGACGCATGCCTTCCTCCCCTCGTCCCCTCCACGTGGGAGGCAGTCAGCGTCTTGTGCTGCCCGCTGTTCACGCCGAATACTGTCCGTCTTCGACTCAAACTATTTCCAAGATTTTCATTGGATGACACGGCAATTTGGAAAAGAGGATCTCGAGTGGAGATGAGATGGGAAGAGCTCAATCGCGTCACTTAATTTTCTCAATCGGCAAGGAAGTTCCAATTAGGTCCCTGTCTCTGTGCTAGAGACATCTAGAGAGTACCGGATGAATTGCTTGCGACCGTTTCAGTCGGCAGGTTTCGCGCTTGTTTCTTATTGGATTCTCGAACAGGGTGACTTTTGGGTAACTTCGCTCGTGCCGACATCCTAATTTTGCCACCCGAGGCATGAGCACTTCCCCACTGCGACGGAGAGCGGCAACGTTGGGATGTAAGATTTCTATGGGTAAGACTAGGTATCTCGCGATGAAGATAGCGATTATTCTCACTTCCCCACAAGAAATCCATGCTTTTACCACAGGGAAAAATAATTGCTTTATTTTGCTTTAGCCCTTTAAATCCTCATTAAATGGCCTACTAATCGAACCCGACTCGTTATTAGGACTCAATTTTATGATTTTCGAGAGCACCTCTGATACGTAAACACGATTAAACGAGGCTCGTTCGTAGTCCACCATTTCGATGGGAAGGGGGAGGGGGAAACCGGTGAAGAAAAGCAGACAGACATGGCAGTGGCAAGAACGACTCGGAATGGAAGTATCAGGAAACACTTCACTTCGCGACATCAATGATGTTCGTCGCGCTCTGGCTCTTGGAATAAATGCAGAAGACGTGAGTATTGGCGAGCTATTGCTTCTCAATGATTGCGTTCTCAATTACATGACAATACTGATGCTGCCAAAAAAATATGTCATGTAAAAATGCTTGAGATAAAAAGTTCGCATGTGAAAGAGAGAACAATGAAACAACGAATCGGCTGTCATGGCCTGGTTGCTTAAGGTTTAAGGGAGAACGCAAGGAGTCGACTCATGTTTGTTTTTATTACCATGATCTCATCAAGAACCCAGTTGCGAACGAAACGTGAAATTAGTCACGATCCAGGCTCAGAAGAGAAAGTGCGCAAGAAAAATAAGCCATTTCTGAAGTCAGCGAACTAGCTTAGAAGAAACCAATCTACAAATCTCGATCTGCAGCTCGACACCGCGAAAAGTCGAGCAGCACGGGGACGTTGACACTATTCGAGAACGACGGCGTTGCCGCACTCCCCCAGAATGTTGCAAAAAAAATGACGAAATCAGTGGTGAAGTGAGAGATGGGCCAGTAGTATTAATCTGTCTTTTCGTTCCTCCCGTGCTTTGCAACGGCAGACTTTCAGTCTGCCTGTTCGAACGATGGGAAATGAAAAAAATCGCATGATTGCAGCAAAATGACGCGGAAAACCAATTTAAAAACGATTAAGTTTTAACGGATCTTGTGAAAATACAGGCACCGTTTTTACTTCCTGGTCAACGAAGTCGCATTGACTTTCATTAAAGATTGTCTTCGTTATGCTTCGAATGCAGAGCTGCACGGGAGACTGGTCTGTCCGCAAAATAAAAGCATTTTTCAAGCCTTAAAAGAGCGGAGATCCCAGTGACCGAAGCGAGGAAAAGTGGTGAACGTTGATAGACCGCTTTTCCACCATATAAATCACACTAATTACTATCTGTCAGGAGGTATATAAAAGTTAAGAGTCAAATATATTTATTGGGCGTATGAGGTACATACGGAATAATTTTGGTACGATTACAGTCCTAAATAAGCCCTCGTGGCTGTAATGTACTTTCCTCAGAGTTATACTAGCTTCCTCATGCCGATTGCGAAAGTTCTTTTGGACAAGAAACGCCAAAATAGAACGCGCTTCCTGTTGCCCCTCTTCGTCGCTGTCGAAACGCCGTCCTCGAAGGACTCGGTTCGACGGGCTGAGCAGACCGGAGTCGCGAGGCGCTGGGTCCCGACGGTGTTCGTGGGGTGACACCTCACCCCGATTCCCGGATACTGGGTCATTTGCCCAAATGGGATGAGGCCCCTTGCACCGTCATACTGCAGTGACACGCCTCGCGTCAACAGTCCGCGTTTGCCACGAACGACAGGTTTCGATTCATCGAGCAGGATTTCGCAACGAGACGCACTCGACTGAGCGGTCCAATACGCTGACTACAATCACGCAACTCCGGTCCCAAAGGACCATCGCCATCACCTCGCTTCGTGCGGTTAATCAACATACCAGCCATGTTTGATTCCTAAGACATGCATCACTGAATACGTGAATTGCAGTCAGACGGGGGAGAATAATGGGAGATATCATTACTGACAGCATTCCATTCCTCTTTCCACCACATAAACAGCTGCGGCTGTCCGTCCCTTCACTTCAGGACACCGCCACGTGCAACGAAAGGAAAAGGGGTCCATGTACGGACCAGTTTTCCTTCCAGGCCTGGAATTTCTTTGCACTTTAATCAATACCGATAATGCCAGCATGCCATGGATGCGAAAAAATATATTAAATACTCCCGAATAACATAGAATTCAAGCTGAGAACATTGTCAACCTTTCTCCCGTTCCGGAAGTCCTTAAGGTGTAATTTTTTCATTTAGCTTGTCAATTTGGATCACACCATACTCTGACTTTCATTTTAATGCCTTAAAAAAAAATACGACAATACTAAAAAGTGCAACTGTCCAAAAACAATGCTTGGAAACGTCTTAGTACCAGGTCTTCGGCCATCCTACGACGAAGAAAGCTTTCATAATCGATGTGATTGCTATCGAGAGAACATGCCTTGCATCCGATTCAACTCATTGAACGCAATTACGAGAGGAAATGAGATACGGATATCAGAGAGGGATCGGCAGTCGCCCGGAGGGAGTCGGATTGTCTGCATGCACTTCGTGTAAACGCGCGGAATGAGAATGACCCTGATTCCTGCGAAAGCCAACGCGATGGTCGAGATGAGTCATGAAAATGCAGCCCAGGGGATAAAGGGGATTTAATATCCTTCACTCTCTTCCAAGATGGTAATTATCGGCGCGCCTCGTCTATTATCAACTCTTATCCCAGTCGTTTGTCATCCGGCGTTTCCACACCTTTTCGTCTCCCTTCCAAAAATCAGGGTTCTGGAGGAAAGATGAACGAGATTGCAGGATCACGAAAACGGATGGGAGGGAAAGTCACGTCGGGGATCGTCATTAAAACCTCGTTTCCTGCTTTCCCCTTCCAAAAACGGCGGAATGCAACATATGGAAAGCAAAGAGAGTAAAAGGGGAGTGGGGGGGGGGGATTTTTTTTGTCCGATTTATGGCCTGGAGGCTGCACCGCACAAAGAGTGTATCGAATCGGTCACGTGAAGACTGGGCCCTTTTCCGCGGAAATACAGCGTTTATGCTTCAGTAACTACACTACCATTATTGTGATGGATCACGGACCCCAAAATGTTATCTTAAATGAGAGGTTTACATAACGATCTTCAAACAATGCTATTTTTTTTGTTTCTCAAGACTGACCTTTGACGAGCATCATGACCTTCCTGGGCTTCTTGAGCTTGGAGACCATGTCCTTAAGGGATTTCGCCCCGACGACCTTAGTGCCCTTTGCTTCGTTGTCGAGGAAGGCATCGACCTTTTCCACGGTCCGGTTATAGGCCACAACCGTGTATCCATGATCGTCCATGTTGAGGATGAGGTTCTGACCCATGACGGCCAGCCCGATCAGGGCCAGGTCTCCCCTGCGAATCACGAATCACGATCATGCATATTCGACCACCTCCATGCATATTCGACTCTTGGGATCTATAAACTCGCATGCGTTCGAGGGCGGCTGGGTCGACAGACATCGATTATTTAACCCGACCCGATGCGTGTTTGAAACGTAATGTATTGACAATGCGGGGCGGGCGGAAGCCAACAATGCATGTAGAGCATGACTTGCATCTATTTTATTGCCGTCTTTAATGGGAGGGAAATGCAAGGGAAATAGAAGGGTCTGGCTCTGTACATGAAACAGCAGGAGGAAACGGACGTTCTGATAAGAGTGCTGATAAGAGCTTATTCAAGGACGCCCCGCATACGTATTTCATCGAGTCTATTTGTCTCAACTCTGCTGACCTTTTCAAAAGATTGCTCAACAAGTACTGTTCTCGATTTGCTTTTAAATTCTGTCGATCTACGATTACGAAACGAGAGACGCGTACGAACGCTTTCTTCGGATGTGTACTTACTGGATTCCTGCGTCGGGGTCGGCTTTGCACAACACCAATCCCATTGCGATCCCACTCTGGAAATGCCAGACTGACAACTATTAGAACCGGTTGGGGAGAGCGCGCCACGGAGGCAACTTTCACTAAAAAATCGTTCCGCGGAACCGTATTATGGGGCGTTGCATCATAAAACCCCTCTAGTCTTTGGAGGTTTGTCCGTCTTTTTCTTTCCCTCCCCCTCCTACCCGATCCAAGGGCAGTTGTCCTGCGGTTTTTCACAGAAGCCACTACTCTTCTGTCACGCACTGTCTGCTAATCGTGGAAAACCTTTACTCGAACGAGGACACGTTTAACGACTGAGCCAGGCCCTCCCAGTCGGTATCGCGCATGCCACCATCGATCAGGTTTGGAAATGGCAAGGTTAAACATGAATTAATCAAGCGAAAGGACTCACTCCGCCATATTATAAGATTGAAGAATCCCAGTAGACTTCACTCAAGGCCAAACGGAGAAGCACAGTCAGACAACGTGCCTGCATGTGTGGCAGAATAGACGAACCGGCGACTCGACATGTCATGTCATGCGAGTCTGGCCCCTCACTGCGCATGCGCCCCTCTGCCCCACTCCTCGATATCGATGCGATAGAGGTCTCTCCAGGTCCGCCACGGAGGACCGACTCGGTCCGGCCTCCGCGGGACCGTAGCTCCGTATCTCCCAACCGCAGGCGCAGCTCTCTACAACGGCTTCTGAAGGAGTAGACCGGTTCGCGCATGGTTTTCCTTATGTGGTGTCCCTCGTTAGTGGCAGCTTCTGCGGAATGTGAAAGTACGTCATGTCGCTTGATAATGACGAGGTCACGAATCGGGTTGCATTTCCTTCACATCAACGTCAACTGCGCCACTATTTAGATGGGAGGGCTATTGTATCATGGAATGGGCGTTCCTCCAGCTTCCCCTTTTACGACATTTCGCAACGCGACCGGCGATCTTTTATAATATACAAGGCTTCGACGGCTGGAGATGACGACGGTAATGGTATAATTTTCACTTGCGGTACAGGTCTCATACATCAGGGGTGTGATGGATTGTCAACGGGTGGTCTCTGATTCGGGGCATGACGCACACCGCAAAACCACCCGAGGGCACGAAGAGGATGGACGAGGACGGTTCATCATTCCTACTTGGCATCTTAATGACTCTATTTCGGCCCAAAATCGCCTCTGACGTACGAATGCAACCTCCATTTTTCATCGCGTCCAACTTCACCTGTAACACCTCCGTGAAGTTTCCCGGACTTCCGACAGTAACTATTCTCTAATAATATCTTTATTGTGGTCTGGTCGGCCTCACGTCCGTCACTCGAGGCGTCACGGTGGGAAACTCTCGGCCCCGGTTTTGTATGGAAACACCCGATGACATCTTTATTCGTGGAAAACAAAAGGGAAAAATGCATCCAGACACCGTCAGTATGACCACATCGTGGGAAAATTGTAGGACATACAAAAAAAAACAGGCCCTACGGACTTCATCACGCAAAATCACAATTAGGGTCCTTCGTGGAAAACGTATAAAATACTGTTTCCAAAGGATATGGTCGAATTCAGCACACCATTCAACAAAAAAAGAACTGAGCGGTGGATAAGCAGCAGGCGGGACAGACTCCTGAAAGAGTTCTCCTGTGTTAAATACTGAATCAAAGGAGACAATGAAAGTTTTCTAACGATAAAGAATCCACTGTGATCGCGGCCCCGAACGAACGGGAAAAAGGGACTACATCTATTCAAGAAGTTTTTAGAGTCCGCTCAGTTTTTTTGTTTGCATTTGAATGGGATATTGTCAAAACCACTCTTGTATGAATTTTTTTTTCACGTGGTTGTGGTCCCGTTCCGAGATTTGGTCTTCTGGTCGTCTTTCTTCTCTGGGTAGAGGACTAGATCTCTGCTTTGGATCCAGACGAGGACGTCGAATATCAGCGCCACGGCCACAAATCCTGCAGAAAATCCGCGGAGACATGGCATCGTCATCCAAACGTGGAATGGAGAATGAATGGGGAATGAATGGAGAATGAATGGGGAATGAATGGAGAATGAATGAGAAAGACGAACCGGCTGTCCAGGCGTGGAGAGCGATGCGGAATTTGTCGCTGTCGTAGAAGGCGCAGTTGCCTTTGCCAGTCCCACAAGTCGGCTCTTTCCAGATCAGGCACGTCGAATCTGAAATATTTATTTTTAAATATTCCATAAATATTCCTTAGAAATTCTCCTGTATCTTCCGGCGAAGACGAATGAGCTCCATTTAAGGCGAACGTTGAGAGGCTGCCGGCTCGATCGGTATCTCGCACGCATGAGGCTGAGTACACACCCTCGTCGATCACGAATTTCTCTTCTCCTTCCCATGCCTACATGAATTCATAATGACCTTTTCGCACATTACCCACGCCTATGCATAACCTCGGGGAATGAGGAGAGGAAGAAGAACCCGTTTCTCTTTCCATATAAGATACGAGAAAAGGAGAACGAGATCGTGAAAGAACGTCAGGAATAGAAATGAGGGGGGAGGGGATGAAGGGGGGGGGGGGGGGGCAGGGGGCAAGAACTAACGCAGCTAATGAGCTTCGTGCATTACTAAAAACTTGGCTTCTTTCAGCGCTGACTGGATGAGAAATCCCCCGCAGTTAATGTTAATGTACGGGACCCCATGGAAAAACATTAACCCTCGTGACATGGCTAATGCACCTCATCATCATCTGAGAAGGAAATAAAAAAAAGCCTCAATTACGTAGCGGGGATATCCGGGAAAGAGGGAAGAATTAATGGAATACCTCGAGGGTATGAACTTTTCTCTGACCTCCTTGGAGATGAGAAAAAAAAAACGCATATCCTCATCCTGTCTCTCGCACATCACGAAAGATCCCAACAGAAAGGCTCACCAGAACGTGGAATGCAAATTAAAACCAGACACGCATGCAGTCACGTTGCCATGTCATCGCGTTACAACATGAAGGATCTCTTCTCGATCGAAGTGATGAAAACGAAGGAGATGAAAAGGTAAGTGAAGAAAATTGCCTGTCACGTACCGATGATGGCACCGTAGATGATGGGACCCGGGATGAATGCAAAGAGGCTGGTGACGACAACGACGAGCGCCATAGCCATGGACTTATCTTCCGGCTTCACCGATCTACCGTACCGAGACGAAAAAAAAAAATGCAGTGAAACGAGATCCTCCCCCCTTCAGTCCTTCGAGGAGTGGAAGGATCGCATAAGACAAGAGCCAAGAGGCACTTGAATCAGGCGACCTGCCTCCTGCCTCCCAGCCACTCGGCCACGGAGGCTTTAACTCCTTCATTCTGACTTCAGCATTTCTTGTCTCTGTGCCGTTGAACATTTTTTTTCGCTCTTTCACGTATGCATTTTTCGAGGAAGAAAAAATTTGTCTTTTTTGGTTTAAGGTTTAAGGAGGTACTCTGCCGTAGTAGTCGCATATTTTACTGGTAGAAAGCAACACTGAAGAGATTATGTGCCCTTCAGTTGACTGAATACACTAAAAGTTCCGAGGTATGTGCACCATAGCTAAAAAAAAAAAACCATCATCATCGCCAAAAATTTAGCCGTCCACTATATTGGACACCATTCGTGAACGGGTTAATATGAAAAGGTTTCCGAAAATTTATGAAATTATGAATAAAACTCAACCAAGAACAGACTTTATCAATGATTTTGGATTAATCACTGAGCACCGTTAAAAATTAGTATTATTCGCTAGGCTCATGACTATTTCATGAGATTAATATGAGGGAAATCGCATTACTCAGTTCTTCATAGTTTCCGAGAATTTTTTTGACCAGCCGCTCATCCACGCACACTTCCGTGCATCGAAAATGAAGAAGCCGTGCTTCTCGCTCGCGTGGGCGAAGAACGAAGAAAAAAATAAAAAAAGGAGCACGTTCCCGCTCTCCCGTTACCACGAGTCCGAACTGGGCATGGACCACAAACGGACCACAAACGGACCACAAGCGGACCGCGAACAGGCTCGAATGGAGACGCTTTTTGCCTTTGTCGGAAGCATTTAGATTGCTGCATGATAGCTTGATGATGATGATTGCTTTCGTGATCGTCATAGGTGACGATCACGAAATGAACACCACGGTCTCTAGCTGTAAGTGTGCGTTATGTAATAATATATGGAAGGTTTCAGGCATCAAACCCGAGGGAAATGGAGATATATGTGTCAAATTTTCAATTGAGATTTTTCTTTTTTGGGACTTCACTTCTTAGGACTTGTATATGACTTCATGCCTCTTATTCTTCCACCTCTGTTACTTCCTCATCTCTCTTTTGCTCCTGAGATGAAGTTTCGATTTTCTTGGAATCATGGAGTTGCGTGGCACTCCTTTTTTTTTATTTGCAATAATTTTATTCCGATTCTTAAATTTGCATATTTGTTAGGACTTCGACTAGATCGCTCAGTGATGGGAAAATACGAATCGAGTTTCGATTCGAATCCCATTTGAGCAGAACTTCATTAACGTGATTCGGATCGCAAATGAATTTAAGGCGATTCGATTGGCTGAAACCGCAGAGATTCTGTAATTTTCCTAATAGTTACTTCTCTTGAGTACATAACCCCTGGCGATGGCAGCTCTAATCACGAGTGGCGTCATTTGGTTTCGACAAGGCGAAAAGGTCAGGTAATGACAATCATCTGACCGGTGCGTGAACACAAGCGTGCGTGAACGCCGTCCGCATTCGATCCTTCGCATAAGCGCCTACTTCCGACGCTGCCAGTCCTCGAAAGTACGGCAGACAACCACACCCCGAATTGCTAAACAACCGGTAATACCGGGGATGACTGCTGTATCCTCGGGATGAGGGTCGGCAACGGCAATGAGGGGGGTCAACGGGGGTAGAGACAAATTACAGTCTTGATTACTGTATAATTCTTCGCTCTAATTTTGTTGTTTTTTTTTTCCTCTCTGCAGTACTTATTAAATTTTTCCCCTCTTAATGAATTACCTCCTGCAATTTTCCGAGTAATATATTAGTTTTTATTAGTCTCTTTGGGCCAGGTGGTGCGCGTTGGGCAAGAGTACTGAAGCCAATCTACTACAAACTGCGAATGCGTTTGGCTCGCATGCCTATGCCATTAAATTCGTGTCATGACTGCCTTTATTTCAGAGCAGTTTTATTTCGGAGTTCTCAGAGGAGGGGAAACCGCGAGGGGAAATTATGCTTTCGCTGTATTTATGTTACCTTTGGACTGTCAGACTGAAAAGTCTAAGAAAAAGAGAAGGGGGGCAGTTTATTATTATTATTTTTTAGAATTTCTCCATCTGACATCGTACGAACCTCAAGATCTTCACCAAGTTTTATAAAATTTTACCCAGTGCTTCAAATGTAATAACGCTTCAATGGCATCAAGTATGGAAAAACCGCAATGAAGGAAGTACTCCTCTCCAGGTACTTCAGTTCACCGAGGTCCAACATGACTGAGCGGAAGTGGCGAGCAGACTCACAGAAGAAAAATTGGTATTTAATGCCTCTTGTCAAGTGTTATTAAGGTCACTTTGCAAGCTGGTTGCATTTGCAATCAATCCTTTTTCTTTTTTTACTTTCCAGTTGGCCTCAAGCCGAAATTTCCATTCCGGCAGCTTTTGTCCTGTAGTGAATCGTGATTTTTCACGGTGAGGGCAGCTTGGGATCCAGCGGAGAGGACAAGCATTTGGTCTTATAAAAAAAAAAAACTGGAACCCTTTAATTTAATGAATGCAAAGCATTCGCAATAACTCTTGCTCAGAGGAATTAATGAAAAGGGAATTTCGTCACAGAGACTGCCTGCCGCGTTCGCTCGGTCATGTTTGACCCGCCTGAGTGACGTGCATCGCATTCGGCAGCGGGCACATTCTTTCTTTCCATGCGATTTTTCAGACTTCGGCTCTGGGAAGTTATGGCATTTCGAGCACTCGCTGCTGTTTTTCTTAAACTTGGCAGAGATCTTTCTTATTCATCTGTTATGTCATGAGCCTAAGCATGCGCCTCGCACAGGAAATATTGACCCTAAGTGGGGAGTTTTTAACCCACGGGTTTATCACTAATAGGTTTTTTTTCCAGTAAAGTAGTCTGATTTTGTGGCTGGAAAAATTTTTGAGTTAGCATTCATATTATTCTATTGCATTTAAATGTTATTGGCACAGGTAAATTGCAGCATAAATATGTGGAATGGGGCAGAAGTGTCCATCATACCCATTCCTGGAAAAAATATCTGTGACGGGATATATCCGTCATACTCACCCATTAAAAAAAAAAAAACAGACCCCCTAATTGTTTATTTTTTTTACATTTTAAAAGTGATGCTTCCTGTCAGGTATAAACATGGTTGGGGTAGCAATTAATGCAGGCTGTGGACAACATGAGTTCAAATGCTGTACAGGCAACAGCACGTGCTCCTATTAAGCTTTCTCAATGTTCCTCGCGTAAATATCGAAGCTGTCACACTGGGAATTCATCGCCTCTCATCGTTGAACTCGCACCTGCACGGGTTTCTTCCGGTATGTACCGTAACTACGGTACCGTGAAAGAGTCCATAACCGAATCGTTTAGCTGAGTCAGGACCCAGCCACTCTGCCTCCATTGACGCACGCTAACATGTGTTAGCATCGATCAGCGGCGGGCGGCCTCCCAGGGCCTTCGATTCATAACCACTGGCATTGCGTCCCTTTGCCCTTCGAATTGGGTGCGAGAGTGGAAGGGGTTTGCTTCGTTGCTGCTTTGCAATTGAAATGTTCAACTGGTAATGGAATGATCGCCGCGGCGTAAATGCGTATCGTGCCAGAAAATTTCTTACTCTCTCTCTCTTCCCTGACGTACTGCAATTTGCATACAAAATAATGTTACCCTGTGCGTGCTTCCTCACGCACGTGCTTCCGTTATAGCGATTTACCTGTATGCCTATTAATAAGATCTATTTATGTGCTTGAATATTGTTATGCTTATAAATAAAAAAATATATTTTTTTATTTATAATCTGAACCTCCCAGATTCCCATCAATTTCAGCAAAAGATTCGGGAAGTAAGCTTGGGATAAGGTATCTGCTTACTAAGGTACTTCGTAACGAAGAAGTGAATTCTCAAGCCAAGCCCAAACTGCTGTCCGTCGAAATTGCGGTACCAACGAATTCAGAAGAGAAAGGGTTCAATTACGTTTTTAATGCTACGCTGAGGCGAGTTTAACACTTTCAGCCCCGGCGATTTCAATGCCCTACTTGTTTTGCCCGCACGATGACGGGCACGGGGCTAAAAGAGTTAAAAATGCCGCGGAAATGTTCCGTCGAAGGCCCCGACTCGTCCTCGGATGCTGGCTCTCGTTCCTCATCGTCGGCCAAGCGGATTTCCCCGCTGTATTACATCGAAAATCTCACCTCGAGTGTATCGTTTTGACACGACTTGACGAGCCTCGTTGATTTGAGCAACATCCGCCCAGATGTTCTAATTCTGAGGTGTTCTTTCGGCGATTGTGAAAGAGAGATGGAGAGGCTATGATCCGAATTCTCCTCGCCCCTCCCCCTCCCAATTACTTCATCATGATCCCGAGGGTGCAGACGCGGGACCGAACTTCCACTCACGGATGGGCTCAGGGCCTGACTGGGTTCACAAGAGCTCCTCCTGAGATGGAGACGGTGGGAAGTGGCACGAGCGACATCTGTTCCCCGTCGCGAGAACGTCATCATTCGTCCGCTTGGAATGGAGATGTCGCAAAGAGACATCGCAAGAATGGTCCATTCAGAAAAGCTAGAGTGGAAACTCGCTTCAATTTCGAGCCCTCCCACCATGATGCTTCCTCCTTCAACGGAAGTGTTGATCGTAAGAGAGTTCTACTCCTTTAAAGCATGTGCCAGCTCTTCCGGTTTGTGTTCTCTTCGAAATCGCTCAGTCCCTGCCAAGACGTCGTACACTTCGTCTTTTCGGCAGTTTGCTGCCTTCAATTGAAATTGGCAAAGGGCAATCGTCGCTTACTCTTTTCACTGCCACTTCTGCGATAGACCGATGGCGCACGCGAACGCTTATACTTACCATAATGCATGGCAAGGTGGGCGACTTTAATGTCAGTGTACAGCACTCATGCGCGAAAACTACACCTTACCTACGTTGTCTTTCATACGCAAACAATCTCTTATCTTGATCTCAATTCCATCCAATATCTGCTCCTCCTACGTGTGCCCATGAAGTCATGTCAACAGCGCCCCCTATAATACATGGATACCTTTCGCGTAACGTTTTCCCCATTATGTCCACATACCCCCAAGTTTCGCTGAGCTGCGGTTCATAGAGTCCAAGCTAGAGTGTCGTACTCCCACCAACCGATTAATAATCATCCTGTACTTTCGCTGAGGTACTAAATTGCATTCTAAGTTGTCGCATTCAACGGAGTCAACAATAGAGAATACTTCCTGTATACAATCGGTCTTCTTTCATTCCTCTCTTTACGTTCTTTCGCTCTTTCGGCAGCAGTTATCCATAATGGAGGGGACTTGCTGATAATAATATGCCGCATACACCTTCCCGACAGACTCATACCGTTTCTCACCCCGAAGTTGAACTATTCTTCGTGAGAAATCAACGGGATAACCAATTTGGGAGAATCTTGAATAACATACCAAACGAGACAGAGTCGTCTGAAGAGAGCCGAATACGACACAGAACTGAGAGGCAAACGACGATGGGACATTTGGCACGAACTTATTCTACCAAAAAGTGGAAAAGGAATCGTTTTTATATTCTAGATGGCATTATCAATCGCTTCGTTGAACATTCATGAGGTATGCAACGTTGTAAGAAGTAACTTCTCCGTAACGAATAAGTGTCTATCACATTCGAGACTTTCACAGAGCAATAGAGATTTCCCACGTCTCGCAAAGAGTTCTACCGAATTTTACATTTTCCTTGTCTTTACCAAAGATTACATATGCTCCAACTATAGTTGTCAAGTCGAATGACATTTTCAAAAATATAAGTGATATGAGCGGAGCATGAATAAATCCCAGTGGAATAGTCTGTCCGATTTCCACAGATTCCATGCAAAAGAGACAGGAATATGCAAGCGGACGTTCCAGTCTCAACCCTTCAGGCACAAAGGACTGGACGATGCAATTTCAAGACGAGCCCTTAGCAGACTCGAAGGAAAAAGTAGAACCCGACCTGATGGCGACGAGGGTGGAGCTGGTACGGGCAGTGGAGGACAGCAGTTTGATGGTGGCGATGACGCCGAGGTAGAGGATGACGTTGGAGCAGATGCTCTCGCTGCAGAATCCCTCGATTGCCGAGGCAGGTCGAACGAACATGTCCTCGTCGGTTTCGCCGTTCACGGTTCGCTTCAGGCTGTACACGCCGGTCCAGTCCGTCTGGTTTCCCAGGTCCTCCACGGCTTCCACGATGCAACGACAGTCCCCAAACACCTATTCGAGGTCATTTCCGTGACGTCAGCGCACTGGGGGCTACTCAAGCATATTCAGGTTGAGTGATGTTTGAAATCTTTTAAGGTTTAAAACTGAAAATCTCACTTGCCATTACTGGCAAGTGAGATCGCAGGTAGGACTCAATAGGGTTCAAATAACTTTCCATAAAACTTTCGCATTCCACGAACACGGCCTTTCTATTTTTATTATTATACATACTGTATTTTGTTGAAACAAAAAACACAAAACCACTCTCGGGTCGGAGCAAACGCCACAAGAGACTGAGAACAAAAAAGAGGAAGGGTGATCCTTATAGGACATTCCTGATGGCATTGCCATTCCTCCCCACGTTCTGCAACTCTGTATGCCTGTTATGACGGGCCCAAGGAGTGCGATGGCAACTTGGATGCCGTTCAGGCACCAGGCTCTCCATCACCCCGCACCCGGCTGCCAGGGTTCACGTGACGCCGGTTGGATTCGAACCCCAACCTCATGCGTGTTAGCCCAGGACCCTGACCGCTGAGCGTGGTGAGGACGCGGTTTATAAACATGATCTCGTTTAAATTTCCTCACCGACCTCGAGCAAAATTGTAGTTTATTGCCATTCCTTATAACGCAGCCGCACTTTTGAAGTTACCTGACGTTATAGCTGTGGTATTTTTTAGAGGTTCGTGCCACTCGATTCCAATTATAAAGAGAGGACTTTTGTCCCGTTCGAGTCTAGTATCGTCGTGATAGGCTGTTATCCTGTAAAACTAGTTCAAGGTGCAGCAAACGTTTTTGGCACCTCTGGCTATTCCAAGAAAAACCCATTCGTTTCCTGATTGAGGCTTGCCACATTCTCAATGAGGCTTCAAGGAAAAGGTACAGAAACCGAAAATCCAGCTGATGAGTGCTCAACAATTAACCGTTAGAAACGTTTATCGAGCTCCAACAACAAACGTCTTCACGTTTGATGAGTTCAGATGTGCGGTGGAAAGGGAAAGCTTCCTCGAACATTCTTCAGGAAATATTTTTCGCATCTGATATTTAAATCCTGAAGCGACCAAGTGTGATTCACGGAATGCATTCGAGAAGTTTGGGATGCCTTAGCCATGAGGCATTTAATCTCGGTCAAAGTTTCCGGCGAGCAGATGATAACCTCGATGGAAATGACGATCCACACACCAACTCTCAATGTTCGGTTTCATTTTAAGTTTCCTAGAAATTGGGTTGCCTAAAAATATTAACAAAGGAATAAACTTTAATTAAAAAAGTGGAACGCTTTGCAAAAAAAATTTGCCTAAGGGTTGAGTCAGACTGCTTACAAAATTCATTTGTTGGCAAGTGACCAGTTTATTACAACTATTGATTTCCACTCCAGTTTCTAGTCAGGAATTGCCCTGAGCAGAACATCGTATTCCCTCAAGACTATTTTGTATACTACTTACATAGGACAAATCAGCACCGACGGCGAAATCGATCAATGTGTCTACGGACTACCATTCTCATCGTGGAAAGATAATACCGTCGGTTCACTTCTTTGAGCTATGTTCGTCTGAGCCGGGTCACAAAACCGAATCGTTAAAATCCTTATGTTCCAGAGATCTTCTGGAGGACCGCACACGAATTTCAATCGCACTCTCAACGAGTCCCCGAAAATAAATCATTCCTCAAGAATACTGAGGGAAAGCGAAGGCAGCCACAGTTCTGTCATCGAATGTACTCACTTCACTATTATCGGCACCGCAAAATCCCAATCAGCGGTCAACAAAAAAAAATTAGTAATGCTGACTGGGGAGAGGAAGTGGATCTTCGCAATATATCATTTTGTTTCCTTTTCGTGTCGGCAGTAAAATTAGTTTTGCACTCGTGTTCTTTCCGAATGTTTGAACTCTTTACAATTTCTCTGAAATTTGAGGTTGGGAAATCTAGAGGCTAAGGAAATCTAGATTCGAGTGCAGCGCACCCCTCTCGTCCTCGATCGTTCTGGCTCAGAAATGGTCTCACATCTTTCCTTCTTTTTTAGCCGCACTTTTTTATTATATCAAAGAGACTATTTATCGATAACACCATAATGCGCCAGCAAGCGATAACACTGTCTCCAGATCGCAGGATTCTGGCATGAAAGAGAAGGAACACTACGCCGAGCCGAGCAGCGCCGAGCAGACGGGAATCCCCTCCTCCGCCCCGGCCTTTGGAGAGACAGGCCAAATAAACACGAGGTGAGTGGGACGGGGACTCTCCTCCTTCGTTCGGTTCGCACCAGATGTCTCTCGTGGAGATTGGAGGTCCGGGTTTTCACGCTCAGTGGAACGGAGCTTTCGCGCCAGGGAGCTCCTTCGTCTCCATCTCTGTCATTTTTGCTTAGTTAAATACAGCTGCTATTAGTTTATCATATTAGTTGCCGTTTTTACCATTTTGTTGCCGCATTCAAGTGGATTCAGAGCAAGTGCCTCGTGAACGAATCTATATTTGCAATATTCCTAATTGATTAAAAAAAAATTGGATAAATATGCATGCCCCGATCGGGTTCGCAACGATCGAAATTGCGATTCTCATCTAATTCCATGCAAGTCGTCAATGAGATTAATCGATTGACCCTCGATCGACCCGATTCTCCTTGCAGCCATGGATATCAGCCAGCATTTCGCTACCTCGGAAAAACCGGTTCACGTCGGAGACCGCTTTGAAAGAAATTATTATACTCGTACTCGATCTGGTACATATCGCTGGTCTCCTTCCGTACTTTCTTCCTCGTCCTCTGCGGTACTCATTCCTCGTCTCGTGCCGTCGAGACATATCGAAGCAAATTTATGCGGAAATTAACGAACAATCGTGGGAAGGACTCTACATGCAAGAAATTCTCGCTCATTAATGGCGCATGAGGGAATGTTGCCGATCTAAAAGTTAAACGAAGTCCCTCTTATTGAACATGGTTCTGTGACGGACAAGGTTCATCAGTAAACGATACTATTTAAATGTCCGATTATTATAAACGGTGTAAGAAAGTTTCTCTCGGAACAGGATGAAGCTGCATCCGGTAAGGTCACAATAAAATACATCACGATAACTGGAACATGGACGTTCGGCCTCTCTTCGAAACAGTAAGACCCATTCCACGGTGTCTGCAATAGTGCAATTGCACAGGCGATGAGAAAATACAGCATAAAAAAACAGGAAACCGGAACCATCGGCTACATTCGTACCGGTACTACGCGTATATATAATGGTACTGTTTGCATCAAGCACGAATATCGTATATTCGAGGATTGTTAAAACTTCCGGTCGCTGTCTGCCCAATCGGGGACGTGGTTTCCGGTATTAAAAAAAAATCTATTTACAAATGCCACGCCCAATTGATTCGTGTACCGAGGCATGGGATCCATCCATAGTTACCGAATGGTAACTACGGAAAATAATATCATAATTGATAGTGGCTGCGCTTAGCAAAAAGACCAGAAAAATAAATAGACTCTGAGAGTGAGCACCTCAGAACGACTAAAAATATTTTGGGATAAATATTAAAAAATATTAACGGTTTTCCCGCATGCCAAATTTCGAAATCGGTGCCGGAAACTTGGAAGGCAACCGCTTCCTTCGTCTCGAAATCCTTTCCATTCGTCGAAACTGAACTCTGCAGAGTAAACAGTCAAAATAATGTAGTTCGTAAGTTGGGGTCATTGGGGTCGTTCAACGATTGCGAGGTGCTAAGTGCGGGTTAACGTGGTACGCCTGGATTTATAATATTTCATGATACAGATCGATTACAGTAGTTTCATCGGCTTCACTTAGTTTCTTCTGCACCAGATTATCCCAAAACGGAATGGAGGATTAGGATTAGGATTAGGCCTTAACCAGTTAAGTAAATTCTGCCCAATTCCGGGCAGAGATGAAGATCTTTCGCGGCGTGTTTTCACAACGAGGTATCGATTCGAGAAGTCTCATCGATGATACACAGCTTGCGTAATGCGTCTGCGTGAGCGATAGTCTGAAATGTGGGACGAGCTGAAGATTTTCACTCTTCTCCGCAGCTTCCTCATCCGAACAGAACAATAAAATCGCTTAAATTAGCTCTTCTTTTCCTCAGAAAAGCCATCTGTGCCATTCTATGGAACCATTTCCAATTCATCTGCGTCACGTGCATTTAATTACTTACATTGCAATTACTTTCTTTTGTTACCGACTCGTTCCAACGACAGTCAGTCCCTTCATTCATCCTCAGCCGCATTTCCTTTCCAGCCATTTTCGGTGAGAAAATCGCGTCTCCCCGGCGAGAGAGACAGACTCACCGTCTGAGGCCCCGTGGCGTTGAGCACGCGAGTGCAGCCGGCGAAGCAGGGAGAATAGAAGTGAATGGCGCCGTCCTCGCTGCACACAGGGAGGTACTTGTTCGTCCTGCAGTCGCAGCCGACATTGCAGGGAGACTCGACCGAGAGGCTAGGCGGCGACCCGAGAGACCCACACCGTCACGATTTCTCGCGATTTCTCGCGATTTCTCGCGATTTCTCGCGAAGATTTCTCGCGAAATCACCTGCTCACCTGCCGTCGAGGTTGGGCCGACCGTGCATGTAGATGTTGGAGCATCCGATGAGCATGGCGAAGAGCATCCCCGCGACGTATAAGATCCCAACCATTATGTTCCACCCGACCACCCATCGGGCCCTGGGACGGAATCTCCAGAGCACGATCCCGGATGCCACCATCCCGATGCATTGCACCACCGCCTGCGCTCCACCTGTTGCAACGCGACGGAAAATTTGCACTCGACGTCTCGTTTCGCTCGTGGATGCCTTGGGAAAAAAAAACTCCTTACCGGCGAAAGCGGAAGAATTGGCGGCCGAGGTCCGGAATTGCGACTCCAGGTATTTGGGCGAGAAGGAGAAAAAGCCGATGAACCCCAAAATGTGCAAGGTGATGGCTGTGACGTGGCACATGAGAAGAGGATTCCGCAGGATTCGACCCAACGTCTCGGGCATCTCTGACCACGAAAAATCCCCCAATAAAATAGACCGAATCGATTTCGGCGACGTCACCCGATACCTCGCAAGGTCGTTTTCCCAGCGAGGAAAAACAACAATGTCGCCAGCGTTTACTTTCCTTCCGTTGTTGTCCTATGAGGACTTGATCGCTCGCATATGGCCTACGTTCGCACCGCGTATCGTTTCTCCCTCGTTATTTTAACGGGGTGAAGGCCAAATCTTAAGTCTGGCGCACAGTCGGTAGTGGGAAACAGCCAAGCCAGACCATCGTTACGAAATTCAACCGAAAATTGAGGCCCAGATCACTCGTCTACAGATTCTGATACAAATTTAAACCATTTAATGCATCAGTAATAATTGCATTTCAGTATTTAAGATTCGAGACGTCAAGGTTTTCAATAAACTGCTCGCAAATCCTTGAAGAGGAAAGACGGAAAAAAGGAAATTAAGGGGAAAAAGGAAAAAAAAAAACCCTTGAGTTTGGGAGGCGAGGAATCGATGGCAGGCCCGGAGAGGAAGTCGCCCTCCACCTTCTCGGCGTCTGCCTCTCCCGGTTTGTCTTCCTTCAGCTCCAGGCGGCGAGGGAAGAAGAAGAGCGCCGCGGCGGCCACCGTCAGCAAGATCCCGATCAGGATCCATCCTTCGGATAGAAATCATTGTTTTCTCGGGACGTCTGGAGGCGATAGGGTGTGACGAGGTCGGGAACCCGAGAAAGGGTCGTCTGTTCCCCGACCCGATCGGTCGCTCGATCGAGTGCATGACTGTTTCGCTAGAGTTTGCGGAATCTCGGAATCGCGTCACGAAGTGGATGCCTCGTCCCGCCCGATTTCGTTTCGCGTCCATTCGCGTCCGGATTCCGCAAACTCCGATGTGAGATCGAATTCAGTGGAGTCAGATTACGCACAGAATTTTTGGATGGGATTCTCCGGAATCCAAATCGATATTGAATTTACCTCCTAACCGCCGACAACTCACCTTCTTCACCCGACCCCAATTCGATGCCCTCCATAAAAACAACCCGGAAGAAAGAAACGTGAAACAGACCTAGCCAATAGGATCCGATCCATCTTGGGTCCCTCTTGGTCACCCCGGGGTCCTCGAAGGGCTCCACATAGAGCGAGAGGCAGACGTATCCGAGTGCGAAGCCCAGAGTCGGACCCACCGTCCGGATCGCGTTCGTCACGCCTAAGAGTACATGCCGAGGGAGGGACGGACTCGAGTCAACGAATCTTGAAAGAAACGGGAATCCATGGTGGGAAGGAACATGAACGGTGATTCGCATCGAAACTTACATTTTAGCAAGGATTAAGAATGAATTTAGATGTGGAGACAAATATTTTAGAGCATACTCAAACTTTTTGATCTCGTGGGCCGCACGAACAGGGCCATTCTCAGCGGGGGGGGGGGGGGGGGGGGGGGGGGGGGGGGGGGGGGGGGNGGTGGGGGGGGGGGGGGGGGGGGGGGGGGGCGGACGACACCTATCTAAAGCTCCACTTAGTATCAAGAATTAATAAGACCAGAAGCAGGTATTGGAATTATATATTTTTTACCTAGTTTATTGGAAACAGTTAGAGAATCCGTGAAATTGGGATTTGAATCACCCAACTTTGGGAATATTTGCATCTCGCCGCGAGCCGTAGTCAGGGCAACCCGGCATTATCGTAACATTTCAACTATTTACTTGAACGCATGAATGATATAATTTTGAAAGTCGCGAACGAACGGATAAAACCAAGTAAATACTCCAGAGAAAAAAACTTCTAGCCGAAATTCTCTGCGATTCCCCGTTTCGGTTCCATCCCAGGCGATCACGATCGTCTCACTGATGAAGACCGGCGTGAGATGCTGCCTGATGTGATCGTCGAAGTACGTGAGCCCCAGGGTGTAGAAGACGGAGAGCCCCACGCCGGCGACGAAGAACCCCGAGAAGATGAGGACCCCGGCCACGACCGCCTCGTTGTTGTTCCCCTCGCAGGACGCGTCCAGTCGAGTCCCGTTGGCGCTGCACAGCGACGCGCTCTGGAGTTCGTCTGGGGACGGGATTCCGGTTATTCCGACGGGATTCCGGTTATTCGGAAGGGTCGAGTCCAGGACGCGAACGGGAAATGATCATGGAAATGGGAATGCATGGGAAAATGTCTCGATGCCGTCCGAAAACCTGTTCGTTTGGAGCCGCGATAAGCGGCCGTTATGTGTTTTGCATCACGCTTCTTTCCTCTTTTCCTATCTTCTCTGACCTTTTCAGGGGACGATGCAATAAAGCCATCGTACTTTAGATAGCATAATCTGAAGCAACTCTTGAGCTCTTAGGAGTTCTGATCCTTCTCTAACGGGAAAATTTCCGAAAGGACTGAAAGCAAAGGAATGCGAGTAATCGAGTGAGTAACCATAATGAATGATCATAGTTAAACATAATCCTGTCTACTGCCGAGGGCAGAAGCAAGATTAATCCCTATATATTTGCCGACTGGCTGATGCAAGTTTCTCTATCCTCTTACTTTTAGTCTTCAGCACATCTTTGGTGCTTTTCCACGCGTCTTGGAATTAAACGAGAGTCGTGTACGTGCTAGATCGCACGCGATTTCATGTGTTATCCATAAATGTCGCCATTGCCTTTCGCAACAGCGAAAAGCACAACATCATCTGCAAAAGACGAGGAGCTTGGCTGGGTCAGCGACAACACGAGACGACACGGAACGAGACGACACAGAACCGCTCCTGCTCTTCGGAATCCATTTGTGTCTTTGGACGAACGGAAAAGGGTTTCGTCGGAGTGTAAGTCCTTCTGGATTCTGGCCATCTCGGGCATCGCGACCACGCCCGCATTCTTCCGCCGAGTCGGAATCGCGGTGGGTCTCGGGGCACCGGTGATAAGCACCGCCGATAAGCACCGCGAGTAAATGCGCAATAAATGCCCATTCATGGCAGGCCATGAATGAACCCGAGCTATCTCTTCCGATGGAGTCTTTGGCCTCCGATGCAGTTCGAGGCTGGAGTTGTCCATCGGATTTCGTGCTTTCTACCTTCAATCGTGACGAGAGCGAAGAAAATTCCATCTTAAGAGATTATATAATTCCCATTCGAAGGCGTTCTTTTTTCATCGCTGGCTGCCTTCTTGATCGTGTCCCAACCATTCTACATTCTATATTGCCATTTTCCCCAGCTGTTCCATTTAAAAAAAAAAAAAGGAAATCGTTCCACATTACTCGTTCCAACTCAAGGGACAACCATCCCACTCAGGAAATTTGATGGAGTCCATCCAGGGACTCGAAGGAATTTCTCAGACGCAGCCTGGAGTCTACATATGCGACTCTTATTTATCGCGATCTCGAGGCAAAAAATCTCGGGGAAATGCTTCCTTTTTGATGAGCGGCACTAAAGCATTGCAGGTCATATCGCAGGCTCATGATGGGCGTGGACTGGGATTCCGTCTCAAGGTAGTTTTATGTTTGGGTCTAACTCGCACTTAAATTCGGGACAGAGGAGCTGGGTGTACATAATAGCCGCCCGGAAGGTGCTTACAGTTTTTTTAATTATTATTATTTATAATTCATTTGAACTAAACTGTTGTAAAAATAACTCTGAGTTCCACTTATGAATGTTCCCATGCGTGTGTGCTAGATTTGCTTGAGGATATATAGATAAAGAGACAGATAAAATGAGCCTAGAAGACACTGTTTTCCTCTCCGGCCGAGGCGACTGGTACAATCGGAACCTCAATCTACTCTGTACTTCGCTCGGCAGTCGCTAGGATCGCTAGCTGCCTCATGTCGGACGTGTCGACTTTCGGAGACGAAAGGAGCCTTCCCTGAGTGACGCGTCCCGTTTCGAGAACATCGATCAAGCCGTTAGAGAACTTTATGTAAAGTATCTACGTGACCGAGAACCCCATCTCGGACCTCATCAGCGCAGAGTGGCAGGAGGACTGACTTCACTCCGGGCATTCCTGCCTTCGGTTCCTTCGTTAGTGAAGAGTCGGGAGGGTTTTAACCGTGGACTTGGTGGCCATGAAACGTCTCGTGAAAACGAAAGGCGCTGGAGAGATCATTGATAATAAGCTGAAAATGCACCCAATTATACAGTGAATTCGTTTCTTGCAAAAAAGAGCTTGAGGGTCTGAGACGTTGGGAATTTGTCTTTTTTTTCGGGTCAAATAAGGCCGTGAATTGCGAGAAATTTGGTCACGTTGCTCGAACCGGTCGCGGTAGAAGAAAATGCGTCAAAGCAAGAAGAATAATTACTTTGGCGTTGCATTCCTGGTCCTACCATGAGGCAAGGCTTCAGTTGAGAGCAACCAAGACGAACTAAAAGAACCGCCATTCACGGAGGCTGGTCGATCCAACGTTTCGCGAAACATCCGACCCTGTCGTGTTACATTCAAGCATATCTGTCGACTTGCCAATTGGCCACAGCGACTCTTCGGCACTATGCCCTGAGGAGAGACCAGAAACGGAACCGAGGCTTAAAACGGTCTAGGTAACAGACTTTGAATATCGAGCCTTGGAGCGTGCAGTAAGGAGCCGGAACTCGTGCGAGAGCCCAGTAAGCAGCGAATAGATGCAGTCGGCCTCGCATCGGCCAAGAGGAAAGGTCACCGGTTCCATCGCTCTAGGTCACGAATGGATCCTCAACTGGAGCGGAATAGACGCGATATGTGTGCTCAGGTGAGAGTGAGCGGGGACTCATTAACCCCCAGCTGTTCGTCTGATCGAAAGGAATCCTATCAACGACCGAGTCGCTCTGTTTCGCTGTAGCTTACGGAAGACACGACCCGATTCGAGCGAATCGAGTCATGTCTGCCGTTAGGGTGTACAGATCGAACAATGAGCTGGACTGCGGTGCGTTTCTCTAAGAGGTGGATGGGACCCCTCAAGGGGTCTTGAACGGTGGTTCATTTTTCCTATGGGAGACTTCAAAGCGCGAATCGAGAAAGACGAATCCACGTGGAGTGATGCGATCGGTCGGTTTGAAGAAACCACACCGAATGGGAATGGTAGGAAGTCGCTAGACTACCGTGCTGGGAATACCCTGATCAACACCCTTTTCGGGCACAAAGAATCCACGAGTATAGGAGGTGGAAAGAACATTTTCTAAGCTCTGAAATCCTCCCACGGTCGACTCTGATGCACCCAACTTGGAGCTTTCTCGCGCGGGGAGTAGTCTCACCATGGAGGGAGTTTGGCAGGCTAACGTTAGTCTGCATTTGTCTCAGGAATGCTCCTAACGTGGATTCAATGTGAGCAGAGGCACTGAAAGCAACGAGCATTGATGGGTGTTCCTGGAGGCAGACAGGTGTGGTGGTACTCGAGGGAGTTCACCAGTTACCATAGAAGGACTCTCTTCAGCCTACCTGGCAAGGTAATATGTCAAGTTGCTGGAAAGGGAGAGCTTGAACAGTCGCAGGAGAAATCATCTCGTGAAGAGCAGTGCGGATTTCGTGAAGGGCGCAGCACCACGGATCAGCTCTTCGCATCAGATTCTCCTGAGGTTTTAGGAGTATGCCTCAAAGGTTTACATGCGTTTGTGACCGTGTCCTTCGAGGGAAGCTGTGGGGAATACTGTAGGAGAATAGAATTAACAGTCGGCTACTGCAGGCCATTCACTCCTTATACAGTTTGCAGATGCAGAAATTGCGTTTGAATGAGAAGTAGGAACAAAGGACTGCTTCCCGACGTGTGTTTGGCTCCGCCAGAGTTGCGTTCTCTTTCCTTTCCTGTTCCTCGCGTAAATGGATAGAATTTGTAGGCGGAACCCGATCCTTGAAGGGCTCAACACCGGTAGCATCAGGTAAATATCCTTCTCTTTGTCGATGATATTTTATATCCAATTCAGACAGGAGCTTCAGAGCATACTGGATCGATCGTAATGTTCTGGGGTCAGAATGACCCTTACAAAACGTCCACCTCCCAGGTGTATTTGGAGTCAAGTGGATGTCCCTCTAGGAGGAAATCCACTTGCTGTTCACATCCGGTGGATCCAGGTGGACATTTTGTAAAGGGAAACTCGGAGACCATACACTCTTAGAAAATTCCGAGCTTTTGGGGAGTAAAAAGTGAGCACACCGTGAGCTTTTCGAATTTACTCTCTTNGAAACTCGGAGACCATACACTCTTAGAAAAAGGGGAGCGATTTTTCTCAAAAAAGAGAGTAAAATAGCTAACTCCAGTTTCACCCCCCTTTCACTCTGGGAAAGGAGCGAATTTACTCCATCACCAAGGAGTAAAATTGCTCTCCTCCTCCGTGAGTAAGAACGCTCCCATCAGAAAGTGATAGGGATGTCATGCAAATACGAAAATTCTCATAAATACTGTATGGCGCTTTCGCTCTCGTACAGGCGTTGACCTACCTCTGACTGTAATGATTACAGCACACATCAGAGGGTGGACCATCTCTTATAGGTTCCGTGGAGGGTTCAGGACATCAGCCCCTTATTACCTGATCTAATTGAGGTATGATTGAATGAAGTTCACGGACACTCTGTATATTCTAGATCTCCAATGCGGATAAAACCATACGCCTCCCAAAAGGGTTCTCAATAGGAATATGAGCTTGCTTATGGCCTGGACTCTATGAATATGTCTTGAATATGTGGATAACAAATGATGAAGTATCCGTGTTTATTGATTCCTATAATGAGACTAGGCGAGACATACGGCAAGGTACTAAACAATCCTGCGATGGACTATTCCAGGGAAAGAGTGAAGGGAACTTTTGTGTACTGTGCGAAAAGCGAGACCCTTGCCTCCATCTAGTGGCCTGGCGAAGAACTTCAAGGTGTTCACTTCAATACGAGCGGTGAGGGAGCATTTGGTGAGTAATAAGAGAGTAAATTCGAAAAGCTCACGGTGTGCTCACTTTTTACTCCCCAAAAGCTCGGAATTTTCTAAGAGTGTAGGATACGGATCAAGGTTCTCGAGGAATCTATCCGTGCAGAGCGCCCTACATGAGGAGCACCACTTGAACAGGTAGAGAGGTTCAAGTACCTCGTGATCTGGTACTCGAGTGATGGGCGATACGGAAACGCGATCGGCAATCGCATCTCCCGGGCTTTTGGAGTTTTGAGTTGGTTCTGGCCGACCCAGGCTGCAATTCCCAAAGAGGCGAAACTCCCGACTTTTCAGTGTTTACCTCCCCACCATCACACACGGTTAAAACTTTTTGGCAGTGATGGAAATAATCAGATGGCTGATATAGGCTGCCTCGAGGAAGCTGTTTCTTTTCGTTGCCGGGAGCAGTCACCCCGCGTCACGAGAATGCCGCCATACACAAAGAACCACAAGGTCGAGCTGCTTAAGGATTGAGAAACCCCCGGTGGTTCCGACACCTGTCCGCATGCTCCCTCGAACACACCCAAGTCTCTCGACTCGGGATGATCGACGGAAGACCGCTCGGTAGACTTCGTACGCGGTGGAACGACCGCATCGCTCGGCTTCGTCACTGGAGACTCGGCATTCCACCTGCTGAACTCGAGTCCGTTGATCCGGGATCGGAATAGTCGAGGAATACTTTCACCGCGATCTCATTTGGAATGAGCAGAAAACGTTTTTGTACGAGGGGATATCAAGACGTTCGTGGATAAATTACATAATTCCTGCTGTATCTCAAGTGAACGTTTTAAAAATAACGTCCACGTGATATCGAAATGGGTGAAATCACCTCTTGATATCACTAACTATCTTGAATCTTGAATCTCATGTTGTTTCCCTATCTTCCGCGATCCGACCGAGATCGTAACTCCGGGTGAAGGCCATTTCCTGCGAAAAGGTGAGCTGCAGCGGTGATTTTCGCCTCCGTATCATTTTGACACTGGCAACTGCGAAATTGCGCTTCCATGCGAAGGAACCATGAGAAGAAATCGCAAGAAGCAAGATCTAGCGAATAGAACAGAGAGAGTAGTGATGTTCTAAAGGGGTTCAAGCTCCCCAGGAAAAGCCGAAAAGAGCCGAACCGCATTCTCCTAGGACTCCGCAAGTATTGAACCTCGACGGATTAAAGTTTGTGAACTTCGGAAATTGGTGCATGGCAGGTATGGAGCGTAGGGATTTTGTATGCCATCCCCAGTTAAGATGGAGAAAAGTCGTAACGAAAGGGATACAACTTTCCCACGGCTTTCCCAATCGCGTCTACTAATAACACTCGACGGATTCGATCGAAGCGACACGAAATCGGACGTGAAATGAGCCTCTCACGCGACTCCCACTGCCATCAGACCACGAATGCGAAAACCAGTCGCAAGATCTGCTGGCGTGTGGCGGTCACCGCACGTTTCTCGATAGGCCGAACCCAGTCAAGGATTTTCATCGGTCTATGGTCGGTCCAGAGCTGTGAAAGTCGCCTCATCGGCGAGCGAGTAAGTCAACCGAGTCATACTTATAAATTACCGTGGAAGCCCCGAAGTCGAGCCATATGGAGATCGCACGTGCGAACTCCCCGGACCTTTCGTAGGGTTCTTCGTCGTCGATCTCGTAGATCTTCGGGAAGACGATGGAATTCCTCGATCCATTCGTCTCAAGATGCTAACTCAACTCGGAGATGCTCCAAACAATCCTGGTCCAGAGGTTGAAGGGAGAATGATTCCGCTCCAAGGGGAGATTTTAGATAATTTGAATGATCTCCGCGAAGCAAAAGCGTGATGATCACTGAGAAGGAAATATTTGGATTAAACTATAAATTCCTTGGGTGCTTGAATAATTTCTCGGCATCCGTTTGTCATAGACAGAATTTGCAATATGCTCATGAAGAGTAGGGCTTCAACAATGCCCATCACGGGCAGCCATGATTGCCGCACAGAAGGGTCGAAGAGGAGAGATCGTACTCGCTGAAGAAGTACTTGGACTTCGCCCACTTAACGATGTAGAGCGAGTGAGGAGTTACCGGAACAGTATTAAAGATAAGATGGGGATTTCCCTAAAGATAGAACCTGTGTCAAAACGATGAATCCTTATTATTCCCCCCGAATGCGTAGTAGATGTAACTATTTGTTTATTCCATGCTTCGTGGAATATCGGCCCATCATTGCCTTGTCTTCGGGGCATGTGCAAGTATGAAACAGTGCGTTGGCTCGATGAAGGGCCAACCGGACATGCCCGACTATTTTCCGGCTTCAGCCATATGTAAGCAAACCAGTAGCCAGTGATGGCCCAACCGTGGCTCATGCACGAGTCAACTATAGCCACTGATGGTCCGCTGACAATTTTTTCGACCGGGAACACACCCCTGTACTATTGCAGGTCCGACAAGACGAGAGCCAAGATACCGGTCTCGAGATTTTTTTTTTCTTAAAATGGGCGTCACTCACGGGCCCCCGGTCGTAGAAGTCGGTATCAAGAGTGGACTCGTTCACTCGTTTTGAAGCCACACGGCTCGTCCGACGAGTTTTGATGCATCTCGAATCTCAACCGCAGAAATTCACCTTATTGCGAAATTCGTCTTATTCCTCACCTTGCGAAAAGTTGCCGACGAGAGACTTCCTGGCCTGCGCGAGGAGCTCCTTCGCATCCTCGCCGGGCCCGAGTATGAAATGCGGCAGGGCCATGAACAGACAGGACAAGCTGACCGCGAACATCCCGCAGGAGATCCACCGGGGTCGGTGACCGCGACCACCGTAGAAATTCAGGATCAGGGAGAAGATGATCTGGCTCACCTCGTTCCCGGCCATGATGAAACCTGCAAAACCGACAGAAATACCAATTTCCATCGCCTAAAAGACGCCGATGTCGATGCCGATATGTGCCGATTTCCGCTGATTTCCGCCGATTAGAGTCCGGGAACGTACCCATGTTTCGACTCTGGATCCCGAAGCGTTTCTCGACCGTGGAAATGGTGGCGAGGAAGTAGGTGAAATAGCAGCCCTGTATGAGCGAGATGATGCAATAGAGCACCCCAAACCCGTAGATGTTGGCACAGCATTGCAGGAATCCCGGTCGGCACGCCCCCACCCCGCACTGCGTGTCCGGATCCGGCCTCTCTTCCGCATCTCGGGTGTCCAGTCTTTCGAGGCGATACTTGTCGAAGTCCTTCGCCGTCTTGCCCTTTTTCCCCGCCTGCAACAGTTCCGCATCGTAGTCTTTTTTGAATTTTTGAAACACTCAATGTAAAGCAAAGCACAAAAGCATTAAAGTATGTAAAATATATTAAAATATATAAATAGAAGCGCCCGTTAAGAAAGGCAACTTCAACTTCGAGGACACTCAAAACCGTTGAAACTCGCGAAAACAGGAATTTCAATCGGAGGCGATTTGAGGAAGGAAATGAAAGTGAAAGGTCACCAGGAGTCGTCTGCTTTCTTTCCCTCAGAGCGTTTATTATACTTTCCCCCCAATTTTTAATGGCGCCGAGCAAAGCCTACAAAATACTTTGACCCCAAAATAAATTTTTGAATGCGCAACAAATCCTATTGACAAACAAACAGCAACGGAAACTCCGAGTCTTTCCGCGGCAAAGTTGAAAATTTTCGAAGAACCATCACTTTTATTCTTTGCTTTTGGAGGATTCCAATTAGAGGTGTGCGTGAGTCCCGCTTCACGCGTGATTCACGCGGGACTCACGACCTTTTCGTGAGTCGTTACTCGAACAGAGGTTCGGAGAATGTATTTTTCGTGATAGTGAAGAGAACAGAATTCACTCGCGCGTGGTCGTGAGTGATCGTGAGGATTTTTTTTCATTTATTTCTCTCCTTTTTTTAGACTGCCAGATTTCTAATATCCTTCAACGAGGATCGAAGATCGAACCCGTGGGAACGTCGAAAGTTCCATATTCTCATGCAAGCTTTTCCTGGAGAAAAATAAAAAATAAAAAAAAATATATATATACCAAAAGTTGCTCTACTTCCCTTTCATTCGTTGTCCGAGAATTAATTTCCTCAGTTCGGCTGTGGCACGGCCTTGCATCACTCGTATCCAGCTCTGCATTCTTGTGGAATAGGTATTTAGGTATTTGTAGGTATTTAGGACTTAGGAAATAGGGATTTAAAATAGGATAGTAGTTCTAGCTTTTATAAGGATGGAACTATTTCAGCAAGTTATTTCTCTTTGCTTTTCAAAAACAGCTCTAATCGTACTCGTGTGCCACACTTTTTCAATTTACTATTTATATACAATATCAAAACAAATAATTGGAATTATTTTCAGCAAAAAACGAAGCGGTGACTATCACGCGTGACACGAGTCACACGGGATCACGCATGATTTTGCGTGAGTCACGCTTGCGATGAACTTGCGTGTTCGTGATTCTCAAGTAATATTGAATCTCGAGTTTGCGCGAAAGTAAGTGACGACTCGGTTTTCCTCTCGTGATCGTGAGTCATCGTGAGTCAAAAATCACTCACTTGTATAATTACTAATCAAAAATTTAAATCTATTCAATTGAAGTGATTCTGTCGCCGTCGTCCCAATCGACCCGTACATACGCGTGGACAGATTCTCAATATCGCGCTGCTTTACGTTTTGGACGCCTCGAAGTCGAAGAGTGGCGCTGCGATCAAGCCACGAATGGGCAAAATGCCCCCGGGGGCATCTCCCGAGTGAAGGAAAATGCCCTCGGGGGTATCTCCCGAGTGAAGGAAAATGCCCCCGGGGGTATCTCCCGAGGGAAGAGGAGCGAGCTGGAATCCATTGTCGGCGAGGAAGATCGTCAGCCGGCGTGAAAGGTCAAAGGTGCTGCTTTCAAGTTCATGTCGTCGCGATTTATGCATTCAAAACGTGGCGCCTCTGCGTCTCTAAAGCCAAATTCGCGAATCAAAAAAAGATACTACGGCTCACCCTGCAGAGAGAATGGGTGAATTTCGGGCGAAATCCAAAAATTCTCGCGGAACAGATCGGGATTCTCCGCGATCCTTCGCTTCAACCTCGAAGCATCCGATCCGTTTGTATTCTCGTCCTCTTTTTCGAGACATCCAGCACGACACTGCCTGCATCGTCTATGAGGATCGCTCGACGGAGTCTCTATACTTCGCTTAGGTTTATTCCTTTTTTTCGTGAGAATGAGTGCACACCGACGCTATTTTGCACTTCCGCTCGATCCGGAAGGGGGCACGAGGTGCATACGCGTCGATCGGCAGTACCGATTCGGTACAGACACACGGATGCTCACGAATTCGTTTGTCTTAAGGTACCATGGGAAGATGAAAATCGACCCCCTGGATCGAAATTCCGCTTTATAATTGTTGTAAGGGACCTCAAGAAAGGGCCTTGGAGCCGATTGCTGACTCTCTGCGGTCACGCCCGGGGCCATGATTTGAGGTCAAAGGTCACAAAGAGGTTGACGGACATTGCTCGAAAACGAAGCCGAAATTCAAAAATTCCTCTGATCGATCTCTTAAGAAGTCTCTCGAGAAGCTTCGTGTGGATTTTCATGGGAATCCGTTCGCTATCCTCGGAGCCAATCGTTTTTTGCTGTGGCCCATTTTAAAATTGAAGCCATTTCTGTCCTACCGGGTCGATTTCCTTGGTTCATCGGTCGCAAATACCGGATTTTTTTTGTTCCTATCGCATAGAGATATGTTTCAGGAATCAAATGACACCAAGATTGTTTACTTTCTCCCAGGTGATAGAGAACGCGGGGTTTTAATTCCCGATTTGCATGAAATCTTGAATCCTCGCGCGCAGCTCTTCTTTCTTGGACCTCCCTCCCGACTCGCTCTCCTATGTTCCTTCGCCTGCCCCGGGACCCTGTCGTGTGCACACACTTCCCCCTTGCCTTTTTTTCCCCTCTCTTCCCCAGTTTCACTGTCTCCTACAGGTGATAGAGAACGCGGGGTTTTAATTCCCGATTTGCATGAAATCTTGAATCCTCGCGCGCAGCTCTTCTTTCTTCGTCCTCCCTCCCGACTCACATCCACTTGTGCGTGCGGGTGATTGTGTGTCTGTGTACAAGTGAGTAGCAGGAGAAGCAGGAGACCGACGCGACTTCAACTGGTGCCTATTTCTACAGGGTGGCCCAAAAAGGGCACTCTTTTCAACTCGCATTATTAGTGTGATGCTTTCATGGATATTTCTTCTAGTTGTATATAATGAAAAGAAGAAAGACACAGCTGCAAAATGCTTATATTTCAGATTTGAAATATATTAAAGGATGACTGATTGAATTTCGGTTACGAAAAATCGGCTTTCTGAAAAAAAAGCATTTTGTAGCTGTCTTTCTTCTTTCCATTATATGCAACCAGAAAAAATATTCTTGAAAGCATCACGCCTAAAATGCGAGTTGGAAAGAGTGCCCTTTTTTTGAGGCACCCTGTATTGATTTTTTCTCGTCCCTTGGATGCTTCTCTCTTTTTCTTTTTTCTTTTCTTTTTTTTTATTATTAACAAAGGCTCCGCTTTCAATTCCCCCCTCCTGAGAGTCCTGGCGCGTCGCCGCTCTCCCTCCCACATTGTCTTCTCTCTCTAGAAGGCAATTCTAATTCGGTGCGGATGTGCGGAAAACGGGTGCGGATGAGTGTCTCCCGCCACGGTTGCTAATTTTTGAGGCATTAAAATGCAGATAGGAAGCAAAAATTTCACACGCTTGACATGAATGAAACGGGGTCATAACACTTCACTAGGAATCCAAATTTTCCAAAGCAACGTGCAGAGAGCTCAAATGATAAAAATACGTACAAATTCATAGACAGAAGGGCTTTCAATACTTCTTGCCCTCAATATCTCCCAAAGAAAGGTAGTATATTTCAAGATCTTTTGCATCACCGAGATATGAAAAAAGGACCTAATCCGGATGCGGAATAAGTTCCACCCCTGCACAGAGATCTTCAGAACAAGGTTAATTTGCGTCGCCTTTTGTTCCAGGACGACGGGTGCGCCTCGCGTATATTCGCATCACGTCACGCAAGGTTCGTGCAGTCGATTTGCGTTCTGTGACGACCTTGACTTCCCGTCCACAATGGAACGGATTGCGTAATTGATCGAAGCCAGAGAATCGCCCTTGAACGCGGAAATGTAGAGAACGAGATTTTAGTCGACTTCGAGGAATGACGCCAACACTTGATGCGATGAACCGTTTCAATGCTCGGTGTTCCCAGAACTTGATTCTCATGCTGAACCGGAAGCCGCGAATTCAACAACCGGCCAAAGTGAGAGGAGTGGAAATGGTATGGTTCTCAAAGAGTGCATGAATATGGAGTCCGTATGGCAGTTGTCGGCAACTGGCGGCCCGCGAAGACCCGGCTATCGCACATTACGATCTGACGGTCGCCGTTCGGCTGGACATTTCATATTAGACATTCATCAAAATTAAAATTTTAAATTACATTTGATAGGTGTTGGTCCGCGGACGTGCAGGATTCAGTCATCCGGTGAAATTCGGTTGCCGACCACTGCCGCATGGAGTACTTTACGGTTGAGAATGGGGATTCAGAAAGGGGAGTCGATCGAATGAGACGGACTTGATCCAGTCACGAGATTTTTCTAACCGATTCGGTCTCTCGTCATTGATGGTTACGGTATTAACAGTCTCCTAAGCGATGGCATTCGAATCTGCAAACGGCCGGAATTATTTCTCTGTCAACGAGAACAGGTAGTCGTAAGATGGCATGCACTCACTCCAATGTCCCCGTTCTCGGTTTCCACATAACTCGGGTTATCGTAGGAAGAGGTAGTCGCCATGTCGATGGAGGAGAGGGGAGGAAAGTGGGTCGAGCCACGCACAAGCTCTCGTTCTCGGTCACACGCGCATTTCGATGACGGGACACTTCATGGACTTTTCGTACGAACACAGAGGATTCTCCTCGAAGAAACAGTGTCGAGTGAAAGGCACTTTCACGCGGGATGCTTCGGGGGAGACTGAAACACGGACGAGCGAGACCGAAAGCTCGGATGAATGCGCGGCACCCCAGAGCCCTCTAGAACGTGCGAGAGGAACGAACGAGCGAGAGCTACGTTCTACCTCCCTCCATGCACGTGTCCTGCCTCCTTCCTCGCTCGTGTTCGTGCGGGGGAATGCTGCGTTTTAATTTGAATTGACGTCGCGTGAATCCTCCGGGAAAAGGATGGCGCGTGATTTGTGGGGAGAAACGGGGACTCGGGGACTTGACGGACGGGGAAAACAGGAGAGGAAAAATTTACATTATTCGCGATGACCCTTGCCGATGCCGATCGAATCGTTCCCGTACAAATATGATAAATTCAGGAATATTCTTGCAACAAGAAATGCGCAGTACTTGCAGTACCTCCATCACACCTGAGCCGCGGCGAGAAGTTAAAAGGCATCACTCCTCGCTTCTCGGAAACCTCGCGCTGAGATTACCATGACGGTCCTGCAAGTCCCCCGTTGCTACTAAGGCTAACAGCATCGTACACTCTAAGAATGAGGTAAGGCGTAAGGCATGGCATAACGTCGACGGAGGATTCACCGCACAAGGACAGGAGAGAACCAAGGCGAGACGTTCTCGATTTCCATTTTTACTGCGTGGGCTGACGATCTGAAATCCTTTCAAGCCTTTAGCCATGGGCCGTGCAATCCAACCCAGTTGAAGCCGACGGACGACATCGAAACTTCCAGAGCCATCTTTACGGGAAAACGAGGTCAACCATTCTCTGATTCACAGATGAAAGGAGAGAGGCGTAAGACGATCTTCTAGTCTCCCACATCTTCCAGGTACGGTAATGGATTTTTTTTTTCCAAGGCAGATACCTGGAATTTCTGCTCGGATATTGGAGCCCGTGTTCTTCTCGTCTTCCTTTTCCTCTTTTTTTTTTTACTTCCTTCTCCTTTTCTATTGGAATCCTCGATGAATTCCAATATATGAGAGAAAAAAAAAATAAATAAAATATTGGAAAATAAACCTCTACCAGGTCCAACAAAGCTGAGGTTAGACTCGTGGACTTGACTCCTTCTGAAGACTCCTTGTCATTGTCAAATTTCTCTGCGTTGAGAAAGAAAAAAAAACCCGAAGAATCGACACCGTTTTTACGGCAATACAGGTGTTCAATGTACTTTTCACTCAAATACTTCTTATCGTTTCATCTATGGCAGGGGTATCCCAAGTGCTTCTGTGCGCTGAAAATCACAACTCAGCTCGAAAAAAATTGTCATGGTGGAAATGAGAGCGATTTCAGAAGTCATTGATAATCACATTGTAATCACCATTGATAATAAAAAAATTATTTCCGTACCATTAATCATCTTCGTTGAAGAAACAATTTTAGCTTAGGCATCGGGGCATGCAGATTTAAAAAAAAACTTGAAAATTCTGCAGGGCAGTACGTTGGAATCCTTGCAAGTGATAAGGGCCGACGAGAAGAGAAAGTTTATCCTGTTGAGCCGCCAGTTTCAGATTACGTAACGATGTAAAATCGCAGATAGGCCTACTTGAAAAAAGGGTTGAAGATCGAAAGATCATGGAGATTCTCCTGTTGAAGTCCAATGGAAGGAAGTTCCACTGTATACAAAACCGATGTGCCGAAACCGTAAATTATGAGAACTTCCATGAGAACTTTTCGATTTTTCTTTTAGCTTGCTCGTTTGTTTTCCCAACGTGTCCCAAATTTCCAAAATGCAGAGTCGCCGGCAGGATTTTTCTATTTCTACACTTTTCCTCGCGATTCCTCTTGGGATCCGCAATACAACACCGAAGACGATGAGAAAGTATCTATCCGACTTCTACCGCCGACTCCGCGCGACATCGACGTTAAACCTGGCATAACGTGAACACGAGGTTCCCGTTACGTAAGACCTTGATCGGTGTGAAAGTGCGGCGACCGATGCGGCAGTCGACCGATCGCTTCGCTCTTCGATTTTTCTCCGTCGATTCGAATTATGACGACTTTGAATGGGATTCGGAATCGAGCCATCTGGCTTCATCTTCCGAGTCCGAACTCGGCTGACGCGGTTATCTTTTTCATCGAACACATCGGACGACCATCCGGTACTTTCCAGGTGCATTTTAAGTACAGAAAAGCATAAGAGAGAAAACAAAGCGAACTCAGAAAAATCAAACCGACTCACCATGGCGAAACGAACTCGGTAACAAAAAAAAAAAAGTCACAGAAAACTCGCGTAGTCTGGGTCCATGTTCATCTCGGTTGTTTACCGCGGTTTGCGCCCTCGCGGGAGCCTCCTCGGGGTTTCTTCGGGGTTTTTATCTCCCTGCCCTTCTCGTTCCCTTCGATAACGGGGATAAGGGCTTATCTGTGGCGGGGAAGACGCCTCCCCAGTCCGTGGCAATTCCGTCGTTAAAGTTCTTTCTCTCGGTATCTGGTCTGCGTGGAATGAGTCTGGATGGTTGGGGTGGAAAATCTTTAGGAAAGGTTTGCACACAAACAACGGAGTTCCTGTTAAACGAATCTGCACGAACGGAAAATCGAGAGTTGGTGGGGATTTGACATGGCGTCGAGGGTGCAATGGCGATGCCTCGAGTCGGAAAAATCGACACATTTTCAGGAGAGCAAAAATTCCCCCTTTTCAAAGAAATATCTTATAAAAAAAAAGGGAAGAACAGTTTTTGGAAGGCGTCGAACAACTAAGGCACTCCGTGCAGTAAAGCATGAAATTCTTCAGGTCAGAGCCGATCTTCAAACTTGAAACTCCTTTCGGTGCGGCGATGAATTTTGAGGAACTTGGTTAGTCGAACCATATTGCAAGAATTAGCGATTTTAGGAATTTTTGCCGAATAGGAGCAGTCTCCCCACGAAGATTCAGCAGAATGAGTCTTAATTATTGCCTTTTTTTTTAAACATAATCGCTTTCAAACGACTTTTCCCGTTCATTTTGAAATGGGTCGCGGAGATCTGAAGCTCGTTCGATGACCTAAATATATCTCGTGCTTCGTCGTATTGTAAATAGGACGAGATAACCATGACTAAGCTCCTGCTCTCTATACAAGCAGGATTTCCCAACGTGGAGGACGTTGCCCTTGTCGTTCAGAAAAAAAAAACCCTCAGAGATAATTTTCAATATCCGGCGGCATAAATTCCCTCATTTTGAAATTAATTTTTTTTTTATTGAGAGCAGTTCAGTCAACAAGTCGCTAATCAATTGCTAATTTATTATTTGCCAATTCATAGAGAAGGCCTGGCAACTGGTCTGAAAATTCGCAGGGAAACGACAGGGACTCGATTCCTATCGCAGACTCGGACTCCATCTATTACTGAAGTTCACGTGGGACTCACTAGATGTCTCTCGTGGCGGAGCAGGAAAGAATCATCTGCAGAGGGCTCATCGGTCTCGGCTGAAGTTTCATTCTTCGAATCGAAATGCTTTAGTTTATGAGGTTGTAGTAAGGACAGAAAATGATTCGCCTTTATGGTAATTCGAGTCGCCAAGATGTTGCTACAAAATCTTTGCTCGCATTAGTCTCCGGAAAAAAAAAACATAAAATAAATGACATAATGGCTTGCGAGTAAATGCAATGCATTCTGCTAAGGAAGTCGATTAGCCAGGTTCAGACGAAGGAGGTCATAATGAGCTTTTTGGCTAATAATCATATGGTTTCTTTTTTTTCTTTTTGATTTCATGTTGTCGGGGTTGACAGTGGCACCCCCAAGGAATATTGGAATCAGCATCACTATGATATGTCGAGGTTCGTGGGAATGTGCGTCAGTTCAGGTCAAAAGTACCGAAATGTGCTCGAAATTGGGGCAAAAAACGCTACTCCGCGTGATTTTTTCTGGTTTTCTCGGCTTCAAGGCAAAAATCGGGAAATGTTCTCTGATAGCGTCAATCACAGATCAGAGCATTAAATTTCCTGACTGGGCAGGCCCAGAGAAGTGCCCCAAATATCGTTGTCTCGTACAGTTGTTCTAAAAAGAAACTGACTATGATATTGATGGCGGCATCTTCCTCAGTCTCGACTGGTCTATGCGAAAAAGGCTTGTGCTGCATTTCGTGCCGTCATTCTTTTGTTTCCATAACTGGCGGTGAAGAGACAGACGGTCTGGAACTCCTAAGAAGTCTTAGAATTTCCTTGGACAGGGAAAACAGACTGTCCGTTGCCTCAATTTCCCAAGTTCATCAAAAAACGGAGAATCGACAACGTATCACAGATGTGCATTTGCGATGGCACTTCGTCCTGAAGAGTGAAAAACTTTTGTGCTTCGTGTGTGCTTCGTCGAGGCTCAAAGTTTCCATATTCCGGACATCTTGAGGGAATCGTCGGACTCGTGGTACTAAGGATTAATCATTACGGATGGAGGAATTTGCAACGACTCCTCGGACAGACGCCATCGAGCGATGGAGTCTCGGCCGGGAAAGCAAAAAATCCGAACGGTTTTGCTCAACGCTGGAAGTGCTGGCCTTCATCCGTGGGGATCATCTCCACGAACATTTTCGCATCCCACGTTTGAAACCCTGTGGTCGATTGTCAAGGCGAGAAAGACTAGGTCGAGAACCAACCATTACTTCGTTCGGTAGAACAAACTAATGCTTGCAATGCGCATTACTGAGCATTGCATTAGCTGCAACTAATGCAACCAATCATCAGCCTCGGCCTCATCAGCGAACCCGAGAGGCCTCGATCTAGTCGAGCTCCATCCTGAGTCAAAGGTATGGTTCAAAATTTCATTCGAAGGTAAAGAATGCACACTTAACTTTAATGTTAAAATCTCGGTAAACTGTATATTCACGAGGGGTATCCGAATTGCCATCGTATCTTCCTGGACAACGAATTTCCATCCCTCAAGAAGATACGGAAGGTCTGCAAGCTAATCCATCCAATTTTTTAACTTTTATCCGGGCAAGGGACCATTGGACCCCCCCATGGTATACTGCATTTCATTACTCTCCGCACTTTTTCAAAATATTATTCAAATTTGATATGGGTTTCATTGAGAGTCATCCATAGATTTAAAAACGAATTTTTAAAGTTAGGAATTGCTTTTAAGGAAAATTTTCTTTAAATGTTTGGCTTTGCCCGTTTGTGTCACAAAAATACCTTGCCCGGATAAGGGTTAATGGACTTGCAGTTCTTCACTTCTCACCTTATTAATGCTAATAGAAAACATCAGTTCAGAAGAACTACCATTGCACCCTCGACACGACGACTCCAACGACAGAGAAGGAAGGGAAAATAAGAAAGGACTAAAATCAAATGGGTTTGGTTTCCGGGAAGCGAAGGGTCCAAAAGACAGCGAAGAGGGTGGAAATGGCTCCGAAGACGAGGAAAGAGAATTCCCCGAGAGAAATCTGCATGAGCGGGAAGAGGAGACCGACGAAGAAAACCGTGAAGAAATTCGCGAATGCGCCCAGGGCCAGTCCCATCGCCTGCTCTCCGCTCCTCAGCAACTCTGCACCAACCAAATCCTCAATTTTTTTTTTTCGAAGACAGTACTGTGGAGGAATTCAAAGCCATGCGATGTATTTTCCAGAGCCTTTTTTTGAATGAGAGTTTGGGATGAGAAAGGGACCTCATCGCAGACATGCTTGCCTATAATGGAGCCAATAATGGCACCGATTCGGAAAATCGCATCACTTGTATAGTATGTATAACTGCATCTGAATTTCAAATGAAGTTGACAAATAGGGTCACAAAAGTCGGATCTGATGAGTCACTGGGGGGGGGGGGAAATTTCGTTCATCCATACTCAGTTTATTTGTTTTGGCAGCGAAGCTGCAGCTACTAATTACTTTTTTGCCCAGAAACACCCTCCTTTTCAGAGATGTAATTGCTTGGACTATCTTTTCAATCAAGTTGGAGTGTGCTCTATAATTCTCAGCAGATCTCTTTCGGTTTGCGAAAATTGAAACTGCAGTTGACCTTTTCCGATTACCTGGAGTGTACTCCCCCCCCCCCTCCCCCTCTCGAGAGAACGATTAAGAGCATGCCATCTTAAAACATTCCTCTTTAGATTGCGATGGAGAAGTTTGGGAGCAGAAACTGCAAATGCCTGTGTCGCTTGTCGTGAATTCAGGCGCGACGATAATGTATCCTTTGCGAAACTACGCATTAGGGAGAAGTAGCCTGTACTATACTGAGCACGAAATTTAACTGAATCCAGGTGAAATTTATTTCGTTTCGCAATAGGACTTTCACTAGCAAAGGGTATGCTGGGAATCCGCTGAAATTCGTACACCGAAGAAAAAATCTGAATACGTCATCCGAGACGTAGCACATTCGATGAAAAAAAATCGAGACTGGGAAGGGCAAGTCGTAATGCCACGTCATGCCCCATCATCCTCCTCTCTCAAGAGCAAAAGTAAAAGTGTATCCGAAGCCATCCAAAAAATGAATGGAACTTACGCACCCTCCAATGAATACCTCATTCTAGCTCAACAACGCGGATAATGGCTGAAGGTTACCGAGTAGGGTGATGAAGCCCCGCCGATATTATCAATGAGTGCCTTCAAGTGACACGTGTCTGCGTGCTTTCTAAAGGGAAAAGAGCGCTTCGTGTGCAGAGATATCTAGGTCTCTTAGATATCTCTGTTCCCATGGAAATGAGCTACTTGAAGGTAGTGAAACGTTGGCTCTTAGGTCTTTCGCGCTACGTGGAATCTGTTTCCTGTAGGGCACTCGTGCGATTTCAGGTAGGTGTCCAACATCCTGATGCAGTGGATAGTCCTTTCCTGATATCTTCGCGTGGAAAAGCAAGGGGTTCTGGGGAATTGGGAGATAGGCCTTCGCCTTTCCTTTACTGGAGCCCTCAGGACCGAACAGGATCCATGAGAGAAGCGGTTGAGAGGGGAAATCTCCAAATCTGCCCGATGCTCTCGGTGGTACCATCTTCGGGTGGATGTTAAATGTCGATCTTTTCTTAATTTTTGAGGAAATGTCCAGAGAAAACCACGTCCGTCATCGGAGACTCATATTCACACTCTGAAAAAAAGTCTCGGCATACCTATTGCAAGGAAAATGAGGGATGAAACATTCTACCTGTTACATGAAAAGTAAAGCTGCATGATAGCAGGGGGCATACGGTACGGAATGTACGTGGAAAAAGGTGACTTATGATAAAGGGCAAAACGAATTCCAAAGGACTCGAGGCTAACACCTCCTTCCAAGGATTCTACAAAAAAAGGCTCTGGGTACGAAAACAAAACTCATACAAGAGAAAACTCACCAGATCCTACTAGAAAGGGTATGGGTCCCATCCCCAAGCCGAAACTCATGACAAACGCACCCATGATGGCTATGGCCGAAAATGCACACCACGAGATCCGGTCCTATCCATGAAAATAAAAAATGCGGCACCGATTCTCACTCGAAGTGCGACCTCGTCCCTGAGGACTTTCGTCCTACCATGAAATGCATGGAGAGGGTGAGCAGAAAGAGGCACGGGATGAAGCAGCCGACGCTGGTTAAGAGAAGCGTTCGTCGTTTGAACCGGGCCAAGAGGGGAACGGCAAGAATGGCCATCACAAGATTGATGAATCCCAGGCTAAGGCTCGCATATTGACTCGTTTCCACGCTCAAACCGGCACTTCGGAATATGGCCGTCGAGTAGAACATCATCTGCGGATTCGGAATTCCCATGCAAAATAACGAAAAATCACAAATAGCAAATGATGCTATTGCCGATGTTAATATCATACGGCGTTGATGCCGGAGGTCTGCTGCCCGACGTTCAGGGAGATAACGAGGATGAGGGGTAGAGAGATGGAGGCCAAGCACTTGCGACATCTCTCTTTCACCGGTACAACCACAGACACCATAATTTCCCGCTCCTCTGTGTCTGCCGCTAGTAACCAAGAGCACGAATCATCTCATCGTTCAATGGAAGGCAATAAGTTGAGTCGAATCATTACTACTTCCTCACATTCGCACTTGCCCATACTTCGCACTCTCGTCGCATTTCAAAAACTTCCTCAAGGAGTGCGGCAACGCAGTCGTTGATTTTCCAATCGTTCTCAGATCACCACCCCCAAACCTCTCTGATTCTCGTGGTTTCGAACCGTCGCCGTCGAGATTCGTAAATGCGTTTTACCCGACAAGTCATCGAGGTGACTTCAGGAAATGGTTACTTTTCCTTTATTTTCCCTTCGTTTACTTTTTCTCACTTCTAGCCCTGGATGACGACTCCATTTTGTTTCTCCCCAGAAGTCATCCTTGAGAAAATCGAATCCCAAAACTGCCAGTCGACTTCATTTTTGCTATATTTAATTCCTTTTATGAAAGCCTATTTCGGTTAATTGCTTGTTTCTTTTCCGTTCTCTATTAATCTGCATATTTCATATCTGCCCTTTTCTCAAATTAGACGGATTTCCTGCAAAGTCAATATTTTCTCATGGACTCGTGACATCTATGAGGAAGAATTGCTCCCACGTTTCCGCATTTACTCGAAAGACAGAACGCAACGGACGTTTCTCAAGAAGTCACGAAGCAAAATGACTCCAGATGCAAGGTCAGCATTCCATTTCAAGAGAAGTTCTTGATGTTATAGTATCTTCCTCTGGGTTTTTTTTTTCTCACTGGGGTCTCACCGTGTACATGATGAGTTTCTCGTGGGAAAACAAGAATGATCCTGCGTGGGGCTTCGCATTTCCCCACTCTAGAGTTTCGCGTTTCCCCCCTTAATGTTTGGGGGCTGGTGACGAACTGAGAAGATGAAAAAAATGCGAAAGGGCCCCTCTGGATCCCATTGCGAATTTGTTATTTCTTTCGCATTTCGGCAGATGTATCTGCTATCTTTATCCGGCGACACCCACTCTTCCCTATAGAAATAATGTCTTCCATCGTTGCCGCTTTCCGTCGCAGTGGGAAAGTGCTAATGTCTCAGGTCAAGTGGCGAAATGAGAGTGAGGGTAAAAGCGAAGCACCCGTTGAGGAGGGGTAGACCCCATAAAAACTCAATGAACATCGTTCATAACGGGAAAGCGCTGATTTTAGTTCATAACTAGTTCATTTAGTTAATAGATTTCTGACTACTATATTAGTTACGAGAGGATATCAAACGTTTCGCAATATTACCAAGAGATCTTGTGACACTGGCATTTGCCTTTTAAATGCCATTTCGCGTTTAGTTTCTGCATTATTAAGCCCATTTACCGATAAAATTCCAAACGAAGTTCTTACTTTTCCGTAAAATTAGTGGGTACGAAGCCTACCCGGAAAGTGAGGAGTTAACCGGATTTCCTTCATCATTCATTTTACCTCGGTTCTTATTAGCTTTCGTTTCAATATGCCCTTAATGATTACATTTATGTATCCTGTATTTTTTTCCCGGAAGGTCCACTATAGTCAAGCCCGAGAAAAAGGAAAGCGGAAATAATTCTCAAACCAAATTTCTCATCTCCTCGCAGAAGGACTTTGACGGAGGAGACGCACAGGCGCCGCTTCGTCTTGCTTCCCAGTTTCCGCTTTTGTTCCCCGATAAAAACTGGGCTTTCTGGGCAGAAGAGAAGGACGGATGCGGTCAGGAACTTGAGGATCCCCGTGGCCGACAACAGGACGTCCCAGAGACCCTCGTTCCCTGCAAAACCCCATTTTCATTGCAAGACGAATTCCTCTCATTTATTCTGAGGGCCATTAGAGGGTTTCCAGCAGATGCAAGAAGCAGTGTGGAGTGTGGAGGAAATTATGCAAAGAATCCAGTATTTGTTACGGAAAGAAAAATATTCAATGTCTTATACTAAATGGAATGCGGAGGTGAGAGTAAAATTGTACCCTAAAACACAGACTTTCTTTTACTTCCATGTCGTCTACTGGAAATTGCTTGGAAGAACTTTCACATACCGAGGATATTGGAGAGCCCTGCGACCTGAGAGACGAGGATCCCCATGCTGATTCCGAGGGGAAGAATGACCCCCAACGGCCCCGACCATGCCTTGGGACCTAGTTCTGTCAGGTACAACGTCACCGTCCCGCATGCCAGTCCTGTACGGGAAAAAGATGACATAGCTGTTTTAGTTTCTATACATGGGTTAAGGGTTCAGGCTCCATGTATGGCAAAAAAAGACCTCTCACGTGTTTTCGCTCTTACAGAAGCTGTTCTCATGAAACTTGCACAACGCACATGCTCATACAGTATGGGTCAAAGGTATTGCAACACAGGAAAAAATCATATTATACCCCTCCAAAGAGTGTGATGAAACTAATTTGTTTACTAATGTAATCTCTCTTCATATAGATGACCAACTGCATTTGCTGAGGCATACTTCTTACAACACTTTTGCGAATGCCTGGGTTCAGGTCTACCCATGCATTTTTGAGTTTCTGGATGAGCTGCTTGCAGCTTGTGGCGTGTTTCATCTTCTTGACCTCCTCCTTGAGAATCTGCCAGAGATTTTCAGTGTGATTTAGGTCAGAGCTGTTCCCTGATCACTGACCCTTCCCCCAGAATGCTGGCAGGTTCTTCTGACACCAGGCAGTGGTGGCTTTGGAGGCATGAAGATGGCCTCTGACCTTTTTTCAACCAAGTACTGCCCCAGAATTGATCCTCCTGCGGTCATCCTGTTAGAGGCATCAAGGCAGGACTTTTGGAAGGTGTTCTCCAGATAATAAATTGTGTTCATAAGCTATTTTGGTGGAGCTTCACATGGAGCTCTGAGTAAGCCTGATGAGAGAACATCCCCCACCCCATGATCCTCAGTGGGTGCGTGGTATTCTGGCGAAGTAAGCTATTTACAATTATTTAAGGAAAATTGAAAATTTAACATTAAAGGAAATTCTAGTGCAATCAGGGTTAATAGACTGCCTGCCACCTTCTCCGTTATGTTTGACGTGAGAAGTCGAGCAGACTTACAGCTACAACTAACTGTAGTTAGTTGTAGCTAACTGTAACTATTGATACTGATTCATCTGTCGTCAAATGCCAAGAAGGCAACATCAAACCACAGCCAATGAAAGAGGAACCAAAATAATTAACTTTAATGAAAGAGATGTTCGATCGACGTCCATGATGCAAGCAGAGCAGGGAGCAGGGCCCAGCCCCCCCCCCATCCCCCAAAGCACGGACTCCTGTCCATTTTAGATTCTCGACTTCTTTTGAATAATTGCTCATCGCCTTGCTTTGGTCGAAGAACTTGTGATGAAATCTTAAAATTATGTTAAATGCATTAAAAATTATATTTAAATGTCCGACTAGCACAATGACTAGCACAATTCCGTGGAAAGAACTCCACAAAGAGAAGCTATTAATGAGTTCATAGCCGGAGTTTATATACTAATCCCTGACTATTTTCGCCCTAGGGTGATATCTTTTAACCCTTCAAGCGCTGAGTTTTGACTCGACCTCTGAGGGATGCACGTACGGCGAACGCGAAAACGGCTGGAAGGGTTAAAGACTAACTTTCGTTCTACTTCAGCTTTTAGTGGAAAAAATGTGTATGCATGTTATGCTTGTGTAGGGGCCTCGGGGCGTCTTTCGGCATTAAATGCCAGAAAATTCCTTTACAACCAAACAAGCTAATAAAGCCCATCAAGCCCAGATTGGCGAGTAATCGCTAGGACCACTTGCCGAGATTATGCAAGTCCAGTCAGCACTCACTGGCAGTTGATTGCACTCGTGAGAACTAGTTTCATGTAACACTTGCCCACTCGCAAGAGCGAGTTCTCGCTAGAGAGTAAACGCGAATTCCACCTGTGCCTTTGGGTCAGGATTTGTCTTTATGCCAAAAACTATTTCCAGATGGAATTGGGTGCGCTAGATTTGCTCCTGCTTCACGTATGATGGAAAACTCATTTTCCCTATCTGGTTCCCTACCATTCGATTTTCCACAGGATAAAAAGCATGTTTTGGCATCGCCTACCTCACATTGAAGAATTTGTCTTTCATACATTCCTTAATATGGATCTTCGTTTATTGGTAGAAAATCCAAGTTGAGCTCGTCCCAGCTTACAAAATCCCGTGTCTGATTGAACTTGATCTCTTGGGACGTATGCGGCGCCTCACAAAAGTTATCGTGTTTTCAGATGCAGCACAGGCCCTAATCAAATAAGTTCATTCAAATGTGGCTGTAAGTGAGCTATAAGAAGTCCAATCGGCTAGGGGCTGTTGTGCATCTGATTCAAGAAGCAAAGACCTGAAATAAATGCGCTCACAAATTACGAAGGAGAGAAACTTTTTCGTTGTTGTTGCATACCAGAACCGGCGCCGGCGAGGATCCGTCCGACGAGAAGGAGGAATGGGGATGAGGTTTTCACAAATGCAAAACAAACTGCCGCCAATATTCCCAGTGCGTTATCCAACATCAACGCACCCTTCCTGCAGAGCAACAGATCCCAATATTTTTCCACTTCCCAATCCTCATTCTTACTCGCAAACGGATCTGCAGTCTGACGGAACCGTTCCTTATACCTTCCGATGCGATTGGCGATGAAGCCGGCGAGGAGAGCGCCCAGAAGCCCCCCGAGTATGAAGGCAGAAACGATGAAACTCCACAAGACCTCCAATTTCCTCTCGTTCATCCATCCTCCCAGTGTGACATTCAGATGACTTTCCAGCACCTGCGGTTCGCGGGGGGAAGATAAAAGAACACGAAGGATCATGACATGTCAATCAGCGCCTGCATACGTAAATACTCCTTTGTTTGATCTTGATGCCATCACGAGCATCGGCTGGGAAAGTCTCATGCACCATTGTATTCTTGTCTCTCATTCTCATAGTGCTTATAGGAATGAGGCAGATAATACGATCGATATGTCAGTCTATTCTTTTTTCATTCCGTCTGTTTGTAGTTGTCATAGCAACCAATTGTGTGGATGGCAACAGTGCTATTAAAGAAATGCCGAATAGCTTATTGACCGATATCCGATGACTACTAGAACCCGAAACTGCTCAAATTAAACATTTCAAATTGGATAAATATGGAATCTCTAAAACATATTTGTCGAAAATGCTGCAAACCCAGACGGATCGGTGACCTCAGAGTGAAGACTGTCCGCTAGGAAGATCCGTTTCTCACGACGCATTGCATCGTACACTCCTATCCAGACTTCCGGATTCGGCCCGTACGTGGGAATGAGGAGAATCGTGACATCTTTTCGCACTCGAGGGCAACGGCTCACGGTGTGCGCCTCTGAATGTTCAGTAGCAGGGAATTTCCTTTCTCTTCCGCCAAACCCCCTCCCTCCCTCTCTCTTTCTCCCCCTCTTTCTTTTTGACATATCGTCCCAGGTCTGATAGAAATATATATATATATATATATATATTTTTAAGCTGACTGTCTCTGACATTCCCTCATAAATGGCCTTTTATCAGTTTTTATTATTTTTTATTAAACCCATTGAGAGAAATAAAAAGTTCTTTCGGCGACTTTAACTCTCATTTTTTGTTTCTTCTTTTTAGCTTTCAGGCATTTAATGCATTCATTTCAATCAATGCAAGCAATTGCTCAAAACGGTATAGTATTAGGTCAAAGTGGATTCGACATTTCGTCCTACGCAGGATAACTGCATCGACATCTGTGGTTCTGCATCTTGAGAACAAACGAAGCTTAACCGATTATATTCGGATGGTAGCATCTGATCGTAAAGAGGTATCTAAGGCGACCTGTGGAATGGTAGATCTGTGCCTGGTTTGGGTTCGCCCATCTATACAGACATATTCGACAAGAGGGGGTAAAAGCGCTAAGTTGCCCAGTGCCTGATGACCTGGCATGGTGCCTCTTATGAATTATTTCATAATCGTCCATATTCTTGAAAACCCCAAAAATTACTTGCACATGTACCAATCCCAAGCATTACATTTTTTTAAAGTCATGGTTGAGCTTGCAGGTTAGACCAAGTCCATTCTCCTATTGTATTACATTGTACAGCATGCTGGACGCTCAATGCAGTGCACAGCAGCAGTCCGTTAACGGGACCGCAAAACTGGACGCTTCATCCAGCAGATGCAACACTGCATCTGCTATACTACATGTTCTGCATCCTAAACATATAGGATTCGTTTCTATTCAATCCAGCATGATGTACAACACGAACATTTTTCCGGAAAACATGCGGCATCCAGTTGCTGAGGAGCGGAGAGCAGGCGATGGGACTGGCCCTGGGCGCATTCGCGAATTTCTTCACGGTTTTCTTCGTCGGTCTCCTCTTCCCGCTCATGCAGATTTCTAGGGGGGGGGGGGGGGGGGGGGGGGGGGGGGGGTCGTTGAAGCCAGGTAGACATCCCAATCCTAAGCCTAGCTCCACTACCTGGAATTTACTTTACTAGACTTTCCTCAAAGGGGTATAGCTAAAATTGGAATTCCCAAGGAAGGTTGAAATGTGTTTTGTCAGTGTCACTGACTGGGAAGCCTAAGAGGGTGGGGGGGTTCTAACCCCGTAAACCCCCCCCCCCCCTTCCCTACGCCGCTGATCTTGATGCATTGCAGGATTTCAGTCCAACAGCTGGACACGCTGGACTGGATTTTTCAGTACTGCATGCAGTATTCAACATGCTGTACAGCACGAGTATGATCTCGGTCTTAGTCACGACCTGTTTTTGGCCTCGGCCTTGATCACCACCCCATCATCCACCAACATATTCTATGTTGCTGGGCACCATACTTGGGGATCTTTCAGCCAAATTATTTCAATAACTGAGTTGTAAGCATCGTCTAATGGAGCACGGAAAATTTTTCCTGTGAAGCATAGACGAACTCTCGATTGAAATTTCGCACGATGCAGAAACGAAAGGCGAAATCAAAGATTGCCAGAGAAAACGGAAGCGGCGGCCAGAGCCAGACCTGTTACATCATCATCCTCAGAGACGAATGGCAAACCGAATGGCGAAGAAAGGCCTGGAGCCAGAAAGTCTCGCTCTCTTCCTTCTCGGGTTACTAACCTCCCTTTGGAGAGAATCATGACCGAGCAATTATCATTCATATCACTTCTAATACCAACCTCGCGACGCATTATGGTATCCATTCCTCCATGCGTTTCCATCTTCCTCATTTCGAATGTTCATCGGTGTCATTCACCGTTGGCATCGCTGAAACGATTGAGGGGATCAGCCGAGACGGAAGTCCTCTTGACGAATTGTGCAATGCCCATTATTTCGCTTTCGTCGCTTGGAGTGCAAAATTGTGAAACATCTCAAGATTTTTGCTCAAGATTGACGAGCCCTGCAATTACGATTGTCGTGACGGCGTCACCGGTAGAATCCATTACGTGCATCGCGTTTAAAAATGCTTCCCCTGCATATCCGGTTTGGAAGTTGAACTTATACACGGCAGTAAATAATGCCCTCCGATTGCACATATAGATTTACTTCGTTGCATAATTCACCTGAAATAGAAGCAAGTGCAGATGCTCCGGCTATCCTAGGTGTCGCCAAAACGCAGATTGAAATTGTGTAATTATGCATGGTCATTTCCTTCGATTCGGGTCTGTTGCAAGTGGGGAACCTCGATGATCCGAAGAATTTAATGAGACACAATGCGTTTATTCATTCCCTCACGATCGGGATCTGAATACCCCATGATGACCCGGAAGATACGGCAAAAAAGGAAGAGGAAGTTGCAGCTGGCATCTGAACGAGACACCCACTGAAAGAGAGGAAGAAAGTGCAGGGAAGAGCGGGACGGGCTATAAAAAGGAAGGACGGTGCGTCAATATTCGCCAGTCGCGAAGTGCATCAGTGCAAATATCGCATCCACGATTATTCCCGTCATGAGGTCCACACTGGTAAGTCCAAATTTTCCTCCTCGAGAAATCATGGTTGCATCGACGACCTCACACTATCGCTCTCACGTGGCAGGTAGGATTGATGGGGCTGATGTTTGCCGGAGCTTGGGGATTCCCCCAATCGAGACCCCAGCAGTCAAACACGAGATTTAAGCCTCCCATCCCGATCGTTTCTCAACAATTCGACATGTCTCCTGAAGGGAACTACGCCTTCAAGTAAGTCCCATGGCATTTTTCCAACACGCTCATTCGGATTCGTCTTCAAGATTGTGAAACTATTACTTGAAACCTTTACATACATCATGTAACCTTGTCGACATGATGAACATTACGTCAGCACATGCTTTTCGTGTGTGTGTGTCATTGACATACTCGCCCTTCTGCATTGAATAATTAAGTCAGGAAGGACTTTGGATCAATGCTCATGTGGAAGGGCTTTGATGTACACGCGCTCTATCAAAAAACACCGAGTCCCACCTGTTTTCGAGGTTTTACCCCATATTTTCACACTCTGGATTCGGCTTTAGTTCGTATATCTCTTCTATAATTTGTGCAAGAAAGGAATGCAAAATGAATGCAAAAGCTCCAAGGTGGGTACAATGTGAGGGGAGAAAGAGAGAGGGAGGGAGGGGGTTTGGCGGAAGAGAAAGGAAATTCCCTGCTACTGAACATTCAGAGGCGCACACCGTGAGCCGTTGCCCTCGAGTGCGAAAAGATGTCACGATTCTCCTCATTCCCACGTACGGGCCGAATCCGGAAGTCTGGATAGGAGTGTACGATGCAATGCGTCGTGAGAAACGGATCTTCCTAGCGGACAGTCTTCACTCTGAGGTCACCGATCCGTCTGGGTTTGCAGCATTTTCGACAAATATGTTTTAGAGATTCCATATTTATCCAATTTGAAATGTTTAATTTGAGCAGTTTCGGGTTCTAGTAGTCATCGGATATCGGTCAATAAGCTATTCGGCATTTCTTTAATAGCACTGTTGCCATCCACACAATTGGTTGCTATGACAACTACAAACAGACGGAATGAAAAAAGAATAGACTGACATATCGATCGTATTATCTGCCTCATTCCTATAAGCACTATGAGAATGAGAGACAAGAATACAATGGTGCATGAGACTTTCCCAGCCGATGCTCGTGATGGCATCAAGATCAAACAAAGGAGTATTTACGTATGCAGGCGCTGATTGACATGTCATGATCCTTCGTGTTCTTTTATCTTCCCCCCGCGAACCGCAGGTGCTGGAAAGTCATCTGAATGTCACACTGGGAGGATG